GGTCATTCAAAGTCACTGTAATAAACATATGTAAACATGTGCACTGCACTAAACTGTCTGTTAACTTTAGACCAGTGCTTCTCAAACTTTTTTGGTCACGCCCCCCTTTAAACCTATAAACCTATATACAGTATATAATTTAAAAAACTTACAGGGGAAAAAAACCCTGCATCACTTGAAACATTGAAAAATAGCATAGAGAGGATAACTGTTATTATTATTATTCTATCTCTGTTATTACTACACCGGATGCGAGCGGCATTTTTCTGAAAATCAAATGAAGGCATTAAACATTTATTTTAAATCAAATGAAAATTAAATCCTTTTATTTATTGGCAAACAAACTGAAGTTTACTGTTGAAATTAATACATGGAAGAAAAAAAAACACTTTTATAACATTTTTTAATAGGCTAATAATTGTATTTCTTTCTACAAGTAAGTGATTAATCTGGTTGTAATATTTATTTTTATCATTTAATTGTTTTATTCAAATTTGATCGAAAATGGAATATCTAAAATGTACATTATACTGTACAAAAGTAATACAAGAGTAGGCCTAATATATTTCTGTTACATGTTAAACCGTACTTTTATTTTGACAGGTTGCCATGAAGCTACTGTGTGTATACAGTATGATGATGCTAGTTTTCTCAAATGAAACGGTAAAATTCTCGCGAAGTGACTCTCACAGCAGCTCTGGAGATTAAGTTTTTGTGTTCATGCCGTCATATAGTGAGACTCAGAGGCCGAAAATCACTGCGAGCGTCACGCGTGCTTCAGTATTTGTGTGGTAAACAAAACCGCGTTTCCGCCATTCATACATACAGAGGCAAGCAGAACATGCAGGATTCACATTTAAACCGTCTTTTTGCATTTTAATATTCACAGACACTAGTTCATATCGAGATTCAAATTAAGTGACAGACTTAGTTTAGATTTATTCGTCCAAAATTGACGAATTCCGTGGCATTCCACGCTATAGAGTAAAGTACATTTTTATGAATGGACTCCATGATCCCGTCTGCGTTTTCGCAGAAACCATATGGACCTAGAAATGTAACCACACTTCAGAACATTTCGGCTTGCCCTGTGTGTTGTTTGAGTTGCAGGGGTGACCTCATGTCACAGTGTCTCTCTGTAGCGTATGCGCCCAGATGCGTTCTCAGGTACCGAAATTTGGCACCGATTGATTTAACGTGAATCAGTACTCGGTAGTATCGACGCAATTCGGTCGGTACACTTAAAAGTACAGAGTTCGGTACCCAACTCTAGTCATGCCGCGGTTCTTGCGAAATTCCAGTATTCACAACACTGGGAGGTTAGCCATGTTAACAAGTAGTCGACAATGAGTTTGTCATTGGATATTTGATATTTAAACCATTTTAACCATTAGGCCACGACTTCCCCATATTTTATTCATGCGCTTACACAACAGGTTTTGAATTGTTAGCATATCACTTATTAATCGCTTATGAATGTTTTGTAAATGATTAGTTCATCATTAACTAATCACTTCTAAATGACTTCCAACTGAACGTTATTATAAAGTGTTACCAGCAGCTCTGTTTTTGCATGGTGCATGGCCCTTTAAATGCTAATGAGCTCTGCTGACCCCGCCCTCTCTGCCATGGGGTGACGAGCCGTTCTTTGAGACTGTAAACTTTAGCCGCTAACTTGCTAACTAGCACATTATTAGGAAAGGCGCTTTGCAAAGATTCATAAAGAACCTTATACTCACTTCTTCTGGAGGTGAAGCTGGATCACGAATGATTTGCGCAAACATAGATGCATTTAGGTAGATCGGGGGCGCATTCCCTTCAGAAACAATGTAATCCACGGCGTCTTCAGCGGCTCAGATGTCAAGAATAAATGACAACTGCTATGTTCATTATTACATCCAACAATAAAGCGCCTCAGTCGCTTAGGAGTCATTCTTGTCTACACCTGCTCCGGCAGCGAAACAATGGCGGACTGTTCGTGGGAGTCGTGGGAGGGGCCTGGGTCTGTGTGACATCACACCGCCAAGAATCTGTGAACGGCTTGATCTGAGAAAGGGCTTATGATTTATGGGGATTTAAAAAAAAAAAAAGCACTATGTGGATTTTTGTCATTATTGGGGGATGTGTACACACTGCCGACACACATTTATGTTCAAACAACATTTAAAAGTGAATTTTGCATCCGATGACCACTTTAAAAATGATTAAAACTGAACACCTCAGATCTGAGATCAGTTAAAACACACTCATGCGGTCAACCATTGCGATTTTGAAATGTTTCAGAAACCTGAAGTTCAAAGCAGTATGACCAAACAAAGCCTTGTTTGCTGAAATCACGTGACTTGGCAAGTTTGCGCCGAACCACTGATTCGAAACAAAAGATTCATAAAGGTCTCAAAGCTTCATGCACTGCCATTGATAATACATGTATTAATGACTTCTGTAGAGATATTGATTTTCCTTAGTTATTTGAAAACATTTGTTTGACGAGGATATTATATTTTTGCTCTTTTAGCACCAACACACTTTTTTGTGACCATGGTTATTGGCGTATGCCAGCCAAATATTGTCTGTGGTAGTAAGTATAGCCAATTTACAGGCCCGTTTTAGTCAGTGGTTGAGTGTAAGTGTTATTAATTGTCTCCTTTGTGCCACTTCTTCTGGTTTTTCCCCCAGGCGACTGACTAAGGAGAACGTGAAGCCCTCAGGAAGGCAGATCGGAAAGTTAAGCCACAGTAACCCCACCATTCTCTTTGATTATGTGAGTATTTTATTGCTTGTGACGGCCATAATGGTCCGCTAGACTAATGACGTGCTTTTACAGGGTTGCTTTATAATCTGCAGTGTGCCATCAATTTTCATTGCACCTGAGATGAAAAAGCACATATAAAAGCTCAGACCAGTGGCCTAATGCCCAGCATCAGAATGACAGCATGAACACGAGGCTGTGTTAGTCAGCGGGCTAACGGTAATTGCATTCATCTCCATCGAATGTAAGAAATTCATGACTTGGCCGACCGCGGCTGATAGATCTTCACGTGTGCCAGAAAGTTTTCATCAGGATGCTTCTTTCTGAAGAAGTGGTGCGGAGTCTTGTTCTGCTGTCACCGTTCATGCTGCGCACGTCTTCAGCGATGAGAGACTCCGCGAGTTTTGCCGAGAAAAGAAAAGACTTGGAAGTGGCTGATGTTGGCAAGGCTTTGAATTCATTAGCATTTCTGAAAAATTCAGAAGATTCAGTGGTGAAATAAAAGACTGAGATGAGCTCTGATGAAGGCTGTGTTATTCAGTCGCTTGCAGAGGACTGCACTTTTCTTATGCCTTTCCTCATTAGAGAGAGAGAGAGAGAGAGAGAGAGAGAGAGAGAGACCACTGACTGATGCTGCTCCCTCTGAACTGACAAACACTCGCCACAGTACAACATCAAATCAAAATTGATTCTGTTTGCTAGAATGAATGTCCCTGGTCTAATTGAGCAATGTGTTATTCTACCTGACCAGGGAAATATAATTAGTGGAGCGATTGTCTGATATTGACCAATATTGATTGCAGCAGCGATCATGTGTTTTTGTAGGCTGGTTCCCTCGAAAAAGCTATAAAGCTATAGAATTTTTCTGTTGGCTTTTGAATTATTGCAAAAAAATAAGCTCTGTGGCCAAAAAAGGTTTTACATTTTGTGATTAGGGCTGAACGATTTTGGAAAATAATCTAACTGCGATTTTTTTTTTACCAATATTGCGATTGCGATTTAATATGCAATTATTTTTTAAAGCTCTTTATGTTCTGTATTATTCAACAAAAACAAGCTATATATATATATATAGAGCTAGATATATCATTGTATAGTATGACCAACACAATATTAGATATATTAAACACAAATGTTATTTTCTGTAGGCCAGGCCTATATGTTACGATGAAATTAGGTGATGCATGAATTGATATGAATGACATTTTTATTTAACATCTACAATCACAGCATATTGACTGATTTGTTGAACTTCCAACCTTGTAAGCATGTAATAATTATGACACCACACTACTTTAGGTCATTCAAAGTCACTGTAATAAACATATGTAAACATGTGCACTGCACTAAACTGTCTGTTAACTTTAGACCAGTGCTTCTCAAACTTTTTTGGTCACGCCCCCCTTTAAACCTATAAACCTATATACAGTATATAATTTAAAAAACTTACAGGGGAAAAAAACCCTGCATCACTTGAAACATTGAAAAATAGCATAGAGAGGATAACTGTTATTATTATTATTCTATCTCTGTTATTACTACACCGGATGCGAGCGGCAAAACAGCATATTGACTGATTTGTTGAACTTCCAACCTTGTAAGCATGTAATAATTATGACACCACACTACTTTAGGTCATTCAAAGTCACTGTAATAAACATATGTAAACATGTGCACTGCACTAAACTGTCTGTTAACTTTAGACCAGTGCTTCTCAAACTTTTTTGGTCACGCCCCCCTTTAAACCTATAAACCTATATACAGTATATAATTTAAAAAACTTACAGGGGAAAAAAACCCTGCATCACTTGAAACATTGAAAAATAGCATAGAGAGGATAACTGTTATTATTATTATTCTATCTCTGTTATTACTACACCGGATGCGAGCGGCAAAATACAGTATAAATATTATAATCAGTGACACTGTCTACACTAGATGTGGCGTGGCATGACCGTAGACTGTATAGGGCACGACACGACAAAACCGATGCCGTGTTCTATTTATGACGTACTCTTTATCGCGTCCAGTGTAGAGCTGTTGCGGCGCGGGGCGACAACTGTAGCGTCCGGTATAGACCCGGTGGGTGAAGCCGAGAGCAAGATATGTCTCGTCATATTTTCTGCATTTAGCTTTTGAAGTCATTTGTTGAAATGGTTTGACCCTGCTGCTAGAGTGTGTCCGGAAAGCAATTTGGAGCACAAATGCGTGACATCCTTGACTTGCCCTGGTACGAATTCTAATGCTCATTCTTATGAAAATATTTTGCTTTTGTCATCACGTCCTTTCCCTAGGTCTCGCTAGTCTTTGTGGAGCGGTTTTCAGGAAATATCCCATCGAGTTAGCTGGTCTTCTGCAGTATGTGACCAACCAGCTGAAAGCTGGAAAGAGGTATGCTCACATGTTTGCTGAGAACTTGCACAATTGGTGGCTGACTAAATACTTTTTTGCCCCACTGTATATAACAAAGGCAATACTTAAAAAAAAAAAAATAAATAAATAAAATGTAAATATCCATGTGGGGAAAAGAAAAGTTAAATTTAATTTGATTAAAACTGAAACATTTTACATATGACTGCAACTATATATTTCATATATATATTTTTTAAGAGTAACGGTAAAAATTATAATTTTTTGAGTCACAGTGGTAAAGCTATGTATACAACAAGTGAATTGGAGATGTTTTTTTTTTTTTTTACCATTCACATTAAGGTTTTTGAAATAGGTGTTTGTAAACAGCCCCCCCCCCCCAAAAAAAATTGCTCAGCCTGTACAAGAAAAAAAAAGTTTTCAGCTTTTTAATTTCTTAAAAACATTTTATGCAGATGCACTTCCTCACACAATCACTCCAATCAGAATAAATATTTATTTTCAAATAGTGCCGTTCAAGTCATATGGTTAAAATCCTGTATTTTTTCATACCTCCTTAAATATTGTATACAAAACCCCAAAGTGTTGCAATGTAATGTTTTTCCCCATGAATTACGCACCCCTACTCCCCATTCTCCTGGCTATTTGTCTAGTAACTTGGTGTTGCAATATACTCATGCAGACCTATCTTTATTTGAAAGATTGTTAACAAAAAACCTTGCAAAGCATGCTTTTGCCAATTAATTTGAATCTAGTAATTTCAGTAGAGTATAATAGTGTAAATTATGTCGAGTATGGCCAGTGCTCTAACAGAAAAGTGACATTTCCAAACCCAAATTAGTTTGTAAATAATTTGTTTTATGCTGCTGTTATTTAAAACACATGTATCCTTAAAGTACAGGAAGGCATTCAAGACTTAGGTTTTTTTTTAAGGACTTTTACAGTGTTTTGATTAGGGCTGAACGATTTTGGAAAATAATCTAATTGCGATTTTTTTTTAAATAATATTGCGATTGCAATTTAATACGCAATTATTTTTTTTAAAGCTCTTTATGTTCTGTATTATTCAACAAAGACAAGCTATAAGTCATTGTATAGTATGACCAGCACAATATTAGATATATTAAACATAAATGTTATTTTCTGTAGGCCAGGCCTATATGTTACGATGAAATTAGGTGTTGCATGAATTGATATGAATTTATTTAACAACTACAATCGCAGTATATTGACTGATTTGTTGAACTTCCAACCTTGTAAGCATGTAATAATTATGAAAACACAAAGCACTGACAAATAAGCCTGGTGTAAACATTAATATGAAAGTCTGTAACAAATCACACAAACTAAAGTAGATTGCAGAAATATAAAAACGATATTGATATAAAAAAATCAATAAGTTTGCTATGACAGCAAAATGTCACAATTCTCAATACCACAGCAAGAGTACTAGGGTAACTAATATTAATAAAAAGTCCTCTAAATTATTTAAAATAATTGAACTGTCAGTAATAAAAAAGCAAAGTACAAATACAATCGAATAAAAATATATAAATGAAACAAACTGTGCTGTGACTGCATAGTCTTCACTATAAGAATTAAACTGTCTTTGTTTCTTAAAGCAAAAACAAAAAAAGTCCTTCAGTCAAGAGCAGTGAGTGGTTTAGTCTTTGTGCTTAATATTAATCAAACAAGAAATGACAAAGTCACAGCAGGAATATAGCCCGAGAGCAAGATATGCCTCATCATATTTTCTGCATTTAGCTTTTGAATGACCAGCAGCTGCCTGGGTCTGTGCGACTTCATCGATGGCTTTTCTCTTCACTTTCACAAACTGATCCATCTCCCATTATGAGAGAGCTATAAGAGCGCGGACGTCTCCTTATGCTTTCTCTCGCCGTATTTTGATGACACACACCGATCAATCTTCAAGTCGAACACACCTCTTTACTCTCGCGTGTCACGTGACCGAGTCTAATCGCAGCCTCTGCGATTGAAAAATCTAATTGTTTCATATCGCGATATTATCGCAAATGCAATTAATCGTTCAGCCCTAGTTTTAAACATTAATTCAGTATTTAACCCCTTCATTCCAAGGGTTCATTACCCTGGACAGATTCATTTTTGATTTTCTTAATGAATGGCGAGTATACTGAAAGTTAGGACTAAGTGAGCGATTAGCATTTTTTTACAGCAGTGTTGAAATGTGCTGTGTTTGCAACACTGGTTCACTTTAGTCCACATGCCCAATCTATTTAATATACAGCAATTAACAATTAAAGTGATGCATTTCTCTGGACTGTAGAGGTTAATCCCAGTGCTTGTCTGAGAGAGTGGTATATTTTTCTACACAGCTTTATTTGAGGCTGTTCTGCATATGTGTTAATAAGGTGTGGGATATCCTTCAACACTCCAGAGAGACGTGTGTAGGCAGGCAGTTAAAGCCCTCACTGACAGACTGAGAATCGACTAGCACTTACTCTGAGATCTGGATTGAGCTTCATACATGTACAGGTTTACAGGTTGGATGCATGATAATGGATAATTAGTTTGACTGACAATGATGTTTCCAGTGGGGGGTTGATTTCTCATTAAGTAGATGATCTTTCTCTGAAGTCAAAAATAATCAAACCGGGAAGTTAAATTAAAATGTGCTGGTGCAGGTAAGTTGTTCTTGGTTGAAATTAGCATAGCAAAGTAGTCTCAATTTTGGTGGCTTCTGACCCGAAAATGGGTTGCAGATCTGAAAAGGCTATTGTCGTTTATCACGGACCAAAATATACACTGAAATTGAAAATGAGGATCCAATACATTCACACTAGAGCTGGATGCACCAGTCCATATTTGAGGACGTTCTCTAACATAAAGGAATCACAGCTCTATTTAATTTCCTTTATCCAGTGTCATTGAGCGTGCAGAACTCCCGAAGAGCAGCTTTGGTTTTATTGAGGTCTTTAATCATTCATGTGTTTTATGTTGTGCCAGTTTTGACCTGCTGATTCTGAAGGAAGTGGTGCAGAAGATGGCAGGGATTGAGATCACGGATGAAATGACTGTGGAGCAGCTGGAGGCCATGACAGGTGGAGAGCAGCTCAAAGCGGAGGTACGCCACATCTTTGAAACGGTCATCGTTTAGCAAACTAATAAAAAAATCATTTACACGCTTGAGCCATGTTTGGGAATGCGTGGATGTCATTGCAATGGATTAGGGCTGCAGTAGTGTTTCAGATGTCGAATGCTGGAAGTGTGCTTGTGCTGCTATTTAAAATGTATTTTTAATATGCCACCTGGTTTGATATTTTATCCAAGGTAGGGCTGCTTGATTATGTCAAAAATCTTAATCATGATTATTTTGGTCAGTATTGTAATCATGATTATTCAACACGATTATGAGTGGGCCATATGACCAAAACTTTATACGAGTGATTTATTTAAAGAAGTGATATATCAAATATATATTTTCTGTAAATAAGGTTGCTATGACAGCAAAATGTCACAATTCTCAATACCACAGCAAGAGTACTAGAGTAACTAATATTAGTAAAATACCCTCTAAAATAATTGAACTGTCAGAAATAAAAAAGCAAAGTAAAAATACAATCGAATAAAAAAATACAAATGAAACAAACTGTGCTGTGACTGCATAGTCTTCACTATAAGAATTAAACTTTCTTTGTTTCTTATTAAAGCAACAAATGTCCTTCAGTCAAGAGCAGTGAGTGATTTAGTCTTTGTCGTTTCTTGTTTGATTAATATTAAGCACAAAGTCGCAGCAGGAATATAGCCCACTGTCACTTTAAGAGCCGCCACACGGATCCAGTTTACTGTTACACATGTATTTTCTTTCTCAACTTTTACGTTCATTTATTACATAACCGACGAGGGTTTACGTGAATAATCACTAAGTGCCACATTTTGACACCTTTTTTGCATGCATTTGACCATTTAGGCTTGCACCTTGAGCTAAAACATAACACTAGTTACGCATGTAACTGTGGTTCTGTGAATTCCAGATGACCGCCAGAGGCAGTGTAAACACTATGGATTATCGCGGCGCCAGTTACATAGGTCGAGAGAATATACCAGCAAAGTCACGTCGTGACATATGCTGAGCCCTGGGGGGTTATAAGCCACCGTAGCTCAGCACTCTGCCTCGGTACGCCTTTATCGCGCATTCCGAGGGACCAAGACCTCTGTCGATCATCCGGAATTCACAGAACCACAGTTACATGCGTAACTAGCATTCTGTTTCATTCCTACTGACTGCCAGAGGCAGTGTAAACACTATGGATGACACATACCAACATAGTCATGAGGAATGCCACCCACCTGATGAAAATTAAGGCCGCTCCTGAAGAACTAACGGCATGATGAACAGCAACATTGACTTTATAAAACCGGGCAAACGTGCATGGAGAAGACCAGGTAGCGGCTGTGCCGATATCCGCCATGGAGACTCCTCTTAAAACAGCCCATGAAGATGAGATAGCCCTAGCGGAATGGCAGGTTAGTCTCCAGGGCAGTGGCCTCTCTGCTGCCTTGTAAGCCAGTGTAATTGTCTCCACTCTCCAGTTTGACAATCTCTGCTTCGACACTGGAACACCTTTCTTCACACCACCATAGCAGACAAATAACTGGTCTGACTGTCGAAATTGAGCTGTAGAGCTCACATAGCACTTCAAGGCACGCACAGGACACAAAAGTTGGGCGCTTGAATCAGACCCTGAAGAAGTCTGAAAAGCGGCCAGTTCAATGTGCTGGTTTATGAACTGAGGAATAAAGACTTTTGGAAGAAATGACGGATTGGGTCGTAGAAACACCCCGCAATCATCCGGCAACCAATGCAAGCACAGTTCGTTAACAGACAGCGCGTGTGACTCACTGACTCATTTCGCATACGCGATAGCCTACAAAAAAAGCAGTCTTTAAGGACATCCATTTAATGTCAGTGCTTTGCAAGGGCTCAAACTGGGATGAGCAAAGGAACATAAGCACAAGTGGCAAATCCCACACAGGGAAGTGAGGAGTCCAAGCAGGGTTCAGACGTTGTGCACCCTTCAGAAAACTGCAGACAAGACTGTGAGATCCAAGAGAAGATCCACCAACTGGAGCATGATATGCAGCAATCGCAGCGACGTACACTTTCAACGTGGAAGCTGCCTTGCCCTCCTCCAGTAAATGTTGAAGAAAGTTTAAAATGCTCGGTATGTCACATGTTGCAGGATCAGGCCCCCGCTCCCCCACCCCATGCAGAAAAAAAGCTTCCAACGGGAAGCATAAATCTGTCGTGTGGAAGAAGCCCTGGCATTAGAGATGGTATGGATAACCGCAGGGTCAAAATGCTTCAGAGAAGGATTTAACCCAATGGTCAGACCCAAAGCTGCAGACGAGCTGGATCCGGATGCCAGACCCTTGCCTCAAAGCTTGGAGAGGAGGTCCTTCCTGAGGGGAAGTTTCCACGGATTGCCTGTCAGAAGTCTCAGCAACAAAGGAAACCATGGTCTCGCTGGCCAACATGGTGCCACGAGTAGCACCAAGCGTCTGCTGTCTGGTTGCACACTCCTGGGATATGAGTTGCCCTCAGTGAAGCGAGTTGCGGCTGACACCATGTCAGGATCTTGTGAGTAAGCTGTAGAGACCTGCGAGATTTTGTGCCGCCCTGGTGGTTCAGATGGAACACTGTTGAGATATTGTCAGACCGAACGAGAATATGGCGGACTGCCAGGACTGGCATGAAATACTTTAGAGCCAAGAACATGGCACGTAGTTCCAGCAGATTGATATGTTCTGTGGCCTGGGTCGGTGTCCAGCGCCCGTAAATACCTCTCTGATTCCACGTTGCCCCCCACCCTGTGAGGGATGCATCTGTCGTGACCAGTTCCTGACGAGAGGGAATAACACCCAGGGGCACTCCTGCCTTCAGAAACTCTACCTGTCCCCACCGCCTCAATGCACGGATGCAACGGTGAGAAATTACAACCAGCCGATGGCGATGTCTGGTGGGATCTAGCTGCAAACTGTTATTCCATAATTGTAGTGACATGTAGCAGACATTAGGTAGGAATTCAGGGTCATTCCTATGAACGTAGTGGTCTGTGTTGGAATCAGACAGCTCTTTTTCTCGTTCACAGTAAAACCCAACTTCCGGGGGGCACAAAGAAGACAGTCGTCCAAATAGGGCAGAATACACTTACCTCTTATCCAAAGAAGAGAAAGAGCTGCGCTCACATGCCTTGTGAAGACGCGAGGAGCAAAGGAAAGCCCGAAAAGTAGCTCTTTGAACTGGTACGTTTGATTCAGGAAACTGAAACGCAGAAACTTGCTGTGATGAACAGCAATTGGGACGTGAACGTATGAATCTTTCAGGTCGACACTTACAAATTAATCGTCTGCTGTCACAGACCGAAGAACGTTTTCGAGCATTCGAAAAGGAAGGACCTTCAGTAACAAATTCAGGTGCCTCAAATCGAGAATTGGGCAGAAACCACAGTCCTTCTTCAGGGAATGAGTATTTAGTATACGGAACAAGAATATAACCCGTCTCCCTGAATGAGGGGATGATCTTTGGTCCCACTTTATATTAAGTGGCCTTAACTACTATGTACTTACATTTAAATTAATCATTTGGTACAATGCACTTATTGTGTACATGTTTTTACATTTGTACTTATATTTTTAAAATAACTCCATGTAATTACTTTCTGTAACTACATTTATAATTACACTGTTGACCCATCCCTTACACCTTAACCCACCCTTAAACCTACCCGTACCACCAAATCTGTTTCTAACCTTACCCATATCCCACCTCAATGGCAACAAAAGTGTTTTGCAATACAATGTGAACACAATAAGTACATTGTACTCATTGTTTGATGTAAGTACATAGTAGTTAAGGCCACTTAATATAAAGTGGGACCTGAACTTTTTCTATTGCTCCCTTCTCTAACAGTGAACAAATTTCCTGAGAGAGAGCGCCATCGCACGAACTGCAACTCTGACGATTGTAGGAACAATTCTTGAAAATCTGGGAGTCCAGCGGTGAAACTGTAGAGTATATCCCCTGCTTAGAGTCATCAAAACCCAGGGTTCTGCTGTGTTGGTCCTCCAGTACTCCAGCTATTCTATAGAAAAACGATCGACCGCCGGCCTGAATGTCTCAAGCTTTATGTGTGTGACTTTTAGTGGTCGTGGGAAGGGCACTGACGGGGTCCCCCTGGCAACTGTCGATGAGGTGGCCGAAAAACTCTCGCATCCTCAGTAACACGAGACCTTTGAGGGGGCTGTGACTGAGTTGTAGCGTACCGGTCGGAAACGTTGCTCCGATGTGGCATAGTGATGATGGGTCCGAACTGCTGGCATCCTAAAGGTAGGGTTGCGCTACACCTGCGTCAGCTGACGAGTGGCCTCAGACAGCTTTACCCTCTTTTCCAACAGTTCCGGAACATTAGGACCAAAAAGATGCCCGGGAACAAATGGAAGATCTCTCAAGGTTTTCTTACAGTCCTCAGGTAGCCTTGCTTGGGCAAGCTACTCTTGGCGGCGGGCTGCCAGGAGCGTGGCTGTAAGACTACCCAGCTCGTGGGTCTCATGGTCTATTGCCAAGAGAGCAGTTTGCAGAAACTGTGAAATAGAGTGATCAACATTTGCTGGTTCCAACGTATTGGTGGCAGCAAGAAGTAACTGGCAGATTGTGTTTTTCGCACGTGTAATGTAGGCAACAGACTCGTATGCCTTTTTTAGTAGGGAATCCGTGCGACCACATTGAGCGCTGGGACATCACACATTCCCTCGTAGTGCCTCGTCAGGAGACACCACCAAAGCTGCAACAGGCTACTCTATCTCCGGAGCACGACTCACCCCGATGGAATCTGCTTCAGCCATAGATGCTAGCGCCGCTTGGGTGGACCAGAACCAGTGAGGGCATTTAAAAATTCAGTCACAAAATCTTTACATTGTGGCATGGCGAAAGTAGCCGCAGATGTGGCCTGTCTGAAAAAAAAACATTAGTTTGGGCAGACTGGACCGGTGACTTATCAAGTCCTAGACGAGCAATTGCCATTCGAAGTACAGCCAAAGTATCATCGGAAGAGGACTGGGCCTGTCCAGATGACTGAACTGACCCTCCACTAGACCCCTCTGCTGTTGGATAACCAGTGAAAACATCCTAAGGAGATGGTTGTGCAGCAACATCTACAGCATATCCGTGATCATGAAAAAAAGAATCTGAAGCACTCGTAGAAAGCACATCCATATCAGAATGATGTGAGAAACAAGGGGAATCGAGAGACTCTTCCCCAGTTCCCTGATTCTGAACATTCTCATCCTCCTGTGTCATCTTCACAGGTGTAGCAGATGTGACCGGCTGAAGCAAGTGAAGCAGGCATTTCAGCTCTGCCATCTCTGAAGAAAGCACAGAAACCGTCTTAGAAAGTGAATTTTCCTCAACATGCGAATGTTCATCTCTTCGCAATGTGGCCCTCTTCTTAGATGGAAGGGGAGCGCCGGCTCCCGCGGACGCCTTGCGCTTCCGAGTTCACAAAGGAGCTACATCCAACTGCCTGAGTTTCACCGTTGAATTAGCGTCTAACTCAGCAAGACGGAGCCGTCGTTCCGACATGGGTAAAAGGCTGCAGTGCAGACACGGGTCCGTGAGAGCCTCTCTCAGATGTTGGACACCCAAACGCGACAGGCAGATGTCATGACCGTCGTCCGGGAGAATATCATTAGGGCACAGCTTACAAGTCAGTGAAAAACCAGTGGCAATCGAGCTGTGAGCCATAGTTACTCGCTAATAACACCCTTGGGTAGCAACATAAGGTTTAAGTTAAGTGGGGTGATGGTAACAACGAAGACAGGTATGGAAAAAAAAAAAATATATATATATATACAACATAAGGTTTAAGTTAAGTGGGATGATGGTAACAACAAAGACAGGTATGGAAAAAAAATTAAAATATATCTATATATACACTATTCCCTCGGGTGAACCGACAGGTAATGCCAACAAGTATCTCATGAAAATATATCGAAAATGGCCGACGGATTGAACCGAAGGGTACAGAGTATAACATAAATTCGAGGAAAAACACTCAGCCACCGGATAGCATCGAGAGGCATAGAGTGTAACCGATGAAGCAATATAGACTCAAGTAGAAAATCAAACTCACCAAATCAAAACCTCACTGCTAAATATACTCCAAATCTGTTGGAGTGGCGTAGATGCGCACTGACACAGCTTGTGAGGACGATATATCGCTGCTCTAGTAAGCTGCACTTGACAGCGCGAATATATCACTCAACCTATCTCAACCAGGCGAAAGAGGCAGAGTGCTGAGCTACGGTGACTTATAACCCCCCCATCAGCATGCGTCACTACGTGACTTTGTTGTCATATTCTCTCAACCTATCTAGCTGGCTCTGCGATAATCCATAGTGTTTACACTACCTCTGGCGTTCAGTAGGAATGAAACAGAACTTTACACATCTGCGCATACACAGAAATTCTCCTGAGGAACGGCGCAAGCTCTCTTTAGCTCTTTTAAAAGCATAAATCTAATCAGATTTAATATATCAAAAACGTCCCATTTTGCAAAAGTCACGTTACATGATTTTACTGATTTGCACGTGAAATTGGGCTTGTATGGAGGAAAGAAAGTGCACTGCTGGAAATGAGGCATCGCTTTATCTTGATTTCATTAGGATAAAGATCATGTTCCATGAAGATATTTTGTAAATTTCCTACCGTAAATATATTAAAACTTAATTTTTGATTAGTATATGCATTGCTAAGAACTTAATTTGGACAACTTTAAAGACAATTTTCTTAATATTTAGATTTTTTTTGCACCCTCAAATTCCAGAATTTCAAATAGTTGCATCTCAGCCAAATATGCATGATGTATAAATCTCAATTTAAAAAAACTGACCTTTATGACTTGTTTTGTGGTCCATTTTTTCTTTTTGGAGCTCTAAATCAGCATATTAAAATGAGTTTTGAAGGTTTATATGAAACTGAAGACAGAGTAATGTTGTGATTATAAAAAGCTTAAGTTGTAAATTGTGGAATGTAAAGTCAGTAATAAACGATCTTATTATTTAACCTTGTTTTATTTTGTCTGGGATAATAATAGGGGGTCGCTAAAGAGTCTGGCACCCAGGGGCCTGGTAGGACCTTAATCCATTTTTGACTGTATTACCAAAACCTCCAAACATTTATTCAACTGCAATAACATATCTCGATATAACACAACACAACATATTTTCTTATAGTTGTGACATTTCTATTCTTTTCTCTGAATGTGGATTTCAGGCCTGAGAGGGGTCATGGGTGCAAGACAATTACAGTTGGAAAAGCACATTTCGGTCTATAACCACAGTCACACTGATTTAACCCTCTATAGTGTCAATTATCAGAATCACACAGAACTGAACTCTAACCCTGCGCATCACATTATTCTGTGCCCGGCTGTTGTATGGACAAGACTGCACGGGAGTCCCAAATGGAACCTTCCTGTTAACATTTGTTGACAAGACAGATGGGAAACAATTTGGAGATGGACAAAAGTGTCAATTCATCTCGAGGTTTAATGGTGCGGAAAATGATACTGCTGTGCTTGGGGAGGCTAAAAAGCTTTTGAAATTATGAATATGCAATGTTTGTTAGCATAGAAGGATAATTAATTTAAATAAATCTTATTTACTTCCAGAGCTGTTTATAATTTTTGCGTCGAAGTGTTCTCGATCTGTATTAATTACGCAAAATCTGTTCGGTTACCGTGCACAAGGGATTTGCCAAGCCAATCATCAATACTCAAATTATATGGTACATAACCAGAATTTACAACAAAGGACATATTAATAAAAACAAGTCTTTGAAGAAAAACTTCCTCAAGCAATAAGTAAATGGGTCAATGACACTCATTTGTCCTATATTTGTTCAAAAATACTTAATGCAGTTCATACATATACTTACTTGACTTGTATGATGAGCATTTATTTTCAATTAATTAAAATTATTAAATTATTAAAATGATTCTGAATATCAGTTGACATTTTTATGACAAGGTAAGGTTAGTTTGGGTTGTACAATGTCATATGGTGTCACTCATATTTCTGATAGATAGATAGATAGATAGATAGATAGATAGATAGATAGATAGATAGATAGATAGATAGATAGATAGATAGTCAACATATTAATATGAATGTTTAGGATGTGTACAAGTACACTGTAGCATGTATCTGTCACGGTTACCAGTTCTGTCACCTAATCTGAACTACATTTCCTATCATGCCTCCTGCTGCTCACCTGCTCATTGTCACCAATCATCCAGTCACAATCACCAGCTGTCTCTCATTCCACCTGCACTGGTTAAAAGGACTCACCACACACACACACACACACACACAGATTGTCCTATATTCAGAATTTTTTTTTTTTTGTATTTATTTATTTCCTAATTTTAGAGTTGGCTCTACACACTGGAACAATTGAAAGGATCTGATAGTGTGGTATTAACTGAAGATTCTGTGAAAATTGCAGCTCACTTTTGTCTCCCTGTAAGTAACTCTTTAAAATTGATTCGTTTTAAACCCTTTTTCAAGTTTTTGCATACAAAAGTATTTGTTTTGTTTCCTTAATTATATATGAATGTGAAAAAGAAGACAATAAGAAATGGTATCTGGCACATTAAACCAGTGCATATTAATCTCTTGCAAGGTCATTATACCGTGAAGTAAATAATTAACACCTCCCTGTTGTGTTTGGCAGTATTTGGCATCTCTAGGCATTCAGTCTCTGGTCAAGCAGGGAGCAAAACAGGGCATGCCGGCCAACAAGCTGCTGGACGCCCTGCGAGGAACCGACATCATGCACTGGAAGCAAAGCCTCTCTGAGCTGATAGAAATCAGTCTGGCACAAACCACCTCTATATGGAGGATGTATGGCAAAAGGTCAGAAAACACAGATTCTGGATACCATCAGTCTTTAAACAGACTGTAAGGTCATCCATTCTGCACTGATACTAGCGCCACTGTTAATTTTTTCAGGTTTGACGTAGTTTACGCTGAAATTATTTGTGTTCTCTGTAGCACTATGGCACGGCAGCAGGCTCAGCTCCTGTTAAATATGAACAGTCTGGAGCCGGTGAACTTTAGTGTGCAGCAGAACAACACTGAGGCCTTTGCTGTCGCTCTCTGCCATCTGGCTGAACTCCATGCTGAGCAGGTACCTGAACTCCTACACAACTACATGAACGCAAATAAAAGTACATAAACACAAATGGCTCTTGGTACATAAACTTGATTTAATGTATTGTGTGCAAAAATGTGTTGAATGCTGTATTTTAGAATGTTTTACAGTCTATTGTGTTTCTTTTCTCCATACACAGGGCCTTTATGCTGTTGTGAGTGACATCATGAAACACTTGAAGCAGCAGTTTCCTCCTCATACCCAACATGCCAAAGTAAGCCTGTCGAACAAAATACAGGCATGATCAAGCACTGATCAGCAGCAGCAGCTCCAATTAAGTATATGTTCTCTCTCTCTCTCTCTTTAATAGCTCTGGATGCTGTGTGATCTGAAAATTCAGTTTGAGAAGGCTATGAATGATGGGAAATACCACTTGGCTGAACCGCATGTCACAGCTATCTCTGCCTTAAACAGCACTGAGGGATTGTACAGGTAGATAACTGCAGATATATACTCTTTCAGTAGATAAACCTGGACAAGTGATTGCTAATGTGCTTGTCTGTTCAGGAAAGCGCAGCTGCTGAAAGCTCTCAATCAGACATCTGAAGCATCTAAGATTCTCCAGCAGCTGCAGCAGCAGTGTGAGAAGAGTAAGAACATAGAGATGACTATCAGGTGTGTGTTTGTGAAAACCCTGGGATCACATTAGATATGTGGGTTTCAAGATTCAACTCCGTTTGACTTTTCACTCCAATTATTGCTGGCCATATTTATAATTACAACAAAAAAAAATGCTGATATATTTGAAATCTTGTTGAACATGCACTTTTCTGTTCTCTTGTTTGTATGTAACTCTTCAGTTTGTTTGTGTGGCAGGGTGATGCTGGCCTCTGCAGAACTTCACTGGGACTCGTCTGGTTTTGCGACAGCTCTGCCGTTACTCTTGCAGGCTCTTTCTCTGTCACGCCAACACAACCTGCAGAGCTTGACCTCAGAGACGCTGTTACACCTGGCATTTACACAGGTACACCAACACGAGACTCCTGATAATGCAAATGCTCACAAAACAACTCCCAGATCATTGATTTCAGCTATAAATTCATTGAAGTGTTTTTAAGTACACCTGTGTGTTTGTTGTTTCTGGGAAGATGAAAAAAAAGAGTGTAATTGTCCGCTTGTGTCTGATATTGATCATCTCTCTTCATAGCTGATGTTGGGGATCCCTGAGCAGGCTCTTGTATTGGTGCAGGACGTGTTGGAGTCAGTTTTGGCTCATGGGTCTCTGATAGACAAGGGCAGAGCTCTGCTGCTGGCCGCTCGCTGTCAGATGGCTTTAGCAGGAGCTGCTGCACAGGAACACAGACTGACTGGTACTGAGTCATGTTTGTCATCCGTCTCACTGTATTCGCGTCATAATTCATATGTTTAAGTGTTGTATTTTCCTTTCCTACAGCACTGGAACAAGCTGTGCACACTTTGGATGAGGCAGTTGTGTATTTCTCTCAGCTTGACTGTAAAGAGCGTATGAGAGACATACACTACCTACAGGCACGCCTGCATCACACTCTCGGCAACATTGCTCAGCGTAACAAATGCTCCATGCTCTTCCGCCTACTGGATCAGGAGCTGCCGTCGTCCGGGATGACTGTGGTCAGTCATCTTTAGAAAACATGAACGACACCAAACACTGTTTCCTGTACCATGCGAATAATGGAAATAAATGTTTTTTGTATGTAAAAACTCATTTCTGACTATTTTATTATACATGTGGTATGAGGGAAGCTAATTTGCAACAAAAAAATGTTTGAGTGGATTTTAAATCCATCATCGAAAAAATATATTGTAGGTAAAACAGTTTTTACAAGTCTTTAACAAGTCTTTAAAACCAAAACAATAGTTCCTAAAGATAATTACTACTTTAAAACATAATTTAATTCTATAAAAAATGTTCATATGGGAGCTCTTTTAATGTGAAATGTATTTTACCTGCGAAGCTGAAGATACCTGCGAGATTTTGTGCTGCCCTGGTGGTTCAGATGGAACACTGTTGAGGTATTGTCGGACCGAACGAGAACATGGCGGCCTGCCAGGACTGGCATGAAATACTTTATAGCCAAGAACACGGCACGTAGTTCCAGCAGATTGATATGTTCTGTGGCCTGGGTCAGTGTCCAGCACCCGCAAATACCTCTCTGATTCCACGTTGCCCCCCACCCTGTGAGGGATGTGTCTGTCATGACCAGTCCCCGACGAGAGGGAACAACACCCAGGGGCAATCCTGCCTTCAGAAACTCTTCCTGTCCCCACCATCTCAACGCACGGATGCAACGGTGAGAAATTACAACCAGCCGATGGCGATGTCTGGTGGGATCTAGCCGCAAACTGTTGTTCCTTAACTGTAGTGGTCTGAGGTGGAATAAACCCAGGGGAATCACCACTGTGGCCGCCGTTAACATCCCTATTAGTCACAGGACCACCTCGTACTGCAAAGACACACCCTGGTGAAAGCGAGCCAAAAGTTGCAGAGTGTCACACATTCCAGCGATAGGGAGGCAGATATTAGGTGGGAATTCAGGGTCATTCCTATGAACGTAGTGGTCCGTGTTGGAATCAGACAGCTCTTTTTCTCGTTCACAGTAAAACCCAACTTCCGCACGTCTCAAAAGTAGTCTGGAGTCTGGCACAGCCTGCTGTTTCGTGGGGGCACAAAGAAGCCAGACGTCCAAATAGGGCAGAATATGCATACCTCTTATCCAAAGAGGAGACAGAGCTTCGCTCACACACCTTGTGAAGACGTGAGGAGCAAGGGAAAGCCCGAAAGGTAGCACTTTGAACTGGTACGCTTGATTCAGGAAACTGAAACGCAGAAACTTTCTGTGATGAACAGCAATTGGGACGTGAAAGTATGCATCTTTCAGGTCGACACTTACAAATCAATCGTCTGCTGTCACAGACCGAAGAACGTCGGCTGCGCGCAGCATTCGAAAAGGAAGGACCATCAGGAACAGATTCAGGTGCGTCAAATCGAGAATTGGGCAGAAACCACCGTTCTTCTTCTGAACAAGAAAATATGTCGAATAGAACCCGTCTCCCTGAACGAGGGGATTAACTTTTTATGTGGCTCACTTCTCTAACAGTCAACAAATTTCCCGAGAGAGAGCCATTGCACGAACTGCGTCTCTGATGATTGTAGGAACAATTCTTGAAAATCTGGGAGGTCGGCGGCGAAACTGTAGAGTATATCCCTAGGGGTCTGCTGTGTTGGTCCTCCAGTACTCCAGCTGTTCTATAGAAAAACGATCGACCGCCGGCCTGAATGTCTCAAGCTTTATGTGTGCAACTTTTAGTGGTCACGGGTTGGCGCTGACGGGGTCCCCCTGGCAACTGTCGATGAGGTGGCCAAAAAACTCTTGCATCCTCAGTAACACGAGACCTTTGAGGGGGCTGTGACTGAGGTGTAGCGTGCGGGCGGAAACGTTGCTCCGATGTGGCATAGTGATGACGGGTCTGAACTGCTGGTATCCTAAAGGTAGGGTTGCGCTGCACCTGCGTCAGCTGATGAGTGGCCTCAGACAGCTTTACCCTCTTTTCCAACAGTATGCCTTTTTTAGTAGGGAATCCGTATGACCACATTGAGCACTGGGACACATCGCACATTCCCTCGTAGTGCCTCGTCTGGAGACACCACCAAAGCTGCAACAGGCTGCTCTATCTCTGGAGCATGACTCACCCCGATGGAATCTCCTTCAGCCATAGATGCTAGCGTCCAAACAATCTTTGAGCGCCACTTAGGTGGACCAGAACCAGTGAGGGCATTTGAAAATTCAGCCACAAAATCTTTACATTGTGGCATGGCGAAAGTAGCCGCAGATGTGGCCTGTCTGAAAAAAAAACATTAGTTTGGGCAGACTGGACCGGTGACTTATCAAGTCCTAGACGAGCAATTGCCATTCGAAGTACAGCCAAAGTATCATCGGAAGAGGACTGGGCCTGTCCAGATGACTGAACTGACCCTCCACTAGACCCCTCTGCTGTTGGATAACCAGTGAAAACATCCTAAGGAGATGGTTGTGCAGCAACATCTACAGCATATCCGTGATCATGAAAAAAAGAATCTGAAGCACTCGTAGAAAGCACATCCATATCAGAATGATGTGAGAAACAAGGGGAATCGAGAGACTCTTCCCCAGTTCCCTGATTCTGAACATTCTCATCCTCCTGTGTCATCTTCACAGGTGTAGCAGATGTGACCGGCTGAAGCAAGTGAAGCAGGCATTTCAGCTCTGCCATCTCTGAAGAAAGCACAGAAACCGTCTTAGAAAGTGAATTTTCCTCAACATGCGAATGTTCATCTCTTCGCAATGTGGCCCTCTTCTTAGATGGAAGGGGAGCGCCGGCTCCCGCGGACGCCTTGCGCTTCCGAGTTCACAAAGGAGCTACATCCAACTGCCTGAGTTTCACCGTTGAATTAGCGTCTAACTCAGCAAGACGGAGCCGTCGTTCCGACATGGGTAAAAGGCTGCAGTGCAGACACGGGTCCGTGAGAGCCTCTCTCAGATGTTGGACACCCAAACGCGACAGGCAGATGTCATGACCGTCGTCCGGGAGAATATCATTAGGGCACAGCTTACAAGTCAGTGAAAAACCAGTGGCAATCGAGCTGTGAGCCATAGTTACTCGCTAATAACACCCTTGGGTAGCAACATAAGGTTTAAGTTAAGTGGGGTGATGGTAACAACGAAGACAGGTATGGAAAAAAAAAAATATATATATATATATACAACATAAGGTTTAAGTTAAGTGGGATGATGGTAACAACAAAGACAGGTATGGAAAAAAAATTAAAATATATCTATATATACACTATTCCCTCGGGTGAACCGACAGGTAATGCCAACAAGTATCTCATGAAAATATATCGAAAATGGCCGACGGATTGAACCGAAGGGTACAGAGTATAACATAAATTCGAGGAAAAACACTCAGCCACCGGATAGCATCGAGAGGCATAGAGTGTAACCGATGAAGCAATATAGACTCAAGTAGAAAATCAAACTCACCAAATCAAAACCTCACTGCTAAATATACTCCAAATCTGTTGGAGTGGCGTAGATGCGCACTGACACAGCTTGTGAGGACGATATATCGCTGCTCTAGTAAGCTGCACTTGACAGCGCGAATATATCACTCAACCTATCTCAACCAGGCGAAAGAGGCAGAGTGCTGAGCTACGGTGACTTATAACCCCCCCATCAGCATGCGTCACTACGTGACTTTGTTGTCATATTCTCTCAACCTATCTAGCTGGCTCTGCGATAATCCATAGTGTTTACACTACCTCTGGCGTTCAGTAGGAATGAAACAGAACTTTACACATCTGCGCATACACAGAAATTCTCCTGAGGAACGGCGCAAGCTCTCTTTAGCTCTTTTAAAAGCATAAATCTAATCAGATTTAATATATCAAAAACGTCCCATTTTGCAAAAGTCACGTTACATGATTTTACTGATTTGCACGTGAAATTGGGCTTGTATGGAGGAAAGAAAGTGCACTGCTGGAAATGAGGCATCGCTTTATCTTGATTATTGGACTTTCATAATAGTTTTAGGCTGAAATTGTAAATTGAAACTGTATTTCGATTAGTTTCACAGCCCTTATCTAAGGCAGTGAAGTTCCCATTGTTCTTGGGGCCACTGTATCTAGAGCACTGGCACAGAAACTTTATTTCATAGAGCAGGCCAGCACTAGGAGTGTCGTCTAGTGTGAAACAGTGTGGTGTTTGAATGCTACAGCAATTTATTAAATAAATGAGGGTGGGGGGGGGATAAATAGCATCAGAATTTTAATTTTTTGGGTGAACTTGGGTGTTTTGGGGGGTGTCGTGATGCATAAATCAAGGCCCCTGTAATGAGAGATAGCTAGAGTTATGTGTTACCCTATTAATCTGCAAACCAGCACTACTTAGCAGGTCATGTGCCAAGATGCATTGCAGATGGTGTTTGCCTTAACATTGCTTCCTTGAAATTAAAGTGTGACCACATGGGACAGTCGGTGTTCATAATTAATCAATTCAGCAGTTTCTTGTGCTTGTGTAAGTGAATAAACTCCTGAGTTCAGTCTGCGCAGCTTCTGTTTTGGCCTGGTCATGACTTCTGACTTGATCCTGGCAGCTGCGAGAACACTCCTCTCATCTTGTGCATGTTACCTCAATATGAAGAGGCATGATCATGCATTGACATGTTTGATTGGGAGTGTTTCTGTTCATTTCTGATTGTTTATGTGTGTAGGGTGGCTACTTTGGACAGATCAGGAACACTAAGAAGTCGTCTCAGCGTCTGAAGGATGCTCTTCTGGACCACGAGCTGGCGTTACCTCTGTGTCTCCTGATGGCCCAGCAGAGGAACGGGGTGGTCTTCTCTGAGGGGGGAGAGAAGCACCTTAAACTCGTGGGGAAGCTTTACGATCAGGTATAATCAACTAACGAGCGGCTTTTGAAACCAAGATGACTCAGATCCATGCAGTCCTCAACTCTGTCACTGCAGTTTCTAAAAAGAGTATAACTGCTAATTAAACATGACAAGCAGCAGAGCTGATAATACATTTCTTCAAAACTGTTTACTTCAAGTTTGTTTACTTTTCAGTCTTGTTAAGATGATGCCATGATATAGATAGACAGTCAGACTTTAGGGTTCCTGGAGGGGATGTTCAGGAGGAAACGGCATATACAATTGCACATTTTAATGAGGTAAAGGCTGCCAATTAGGAAAGATCCGCCTTTTAGATGAGAAAATGTGTTAATGGTGTTAATGACTGAAACATCATGGAATAGAAGTTCTTCAACATAGCATAACCCTTCATCAGTGTCTTTCTCACATCAGTGCCATTTGACAGCCTGTCTAAGTCACAAACTGTTAACCCTTAAGTTCATGAATGTTTCTGCTATCATTATTGCATATTCAGGTTTTTAGTGACCCAGATCTATATATCTTAACACGGATGGATCTCTTAACTGCTGCAACTCTCCTGATATTTCAATAACAATTACAAAAGAATAAAATAAAGCATATTTTGTTGGAAGGGTTCAATTTGAGGCAATGATTTCACCCTCCCTGTTATCGTCAGAGTGCACTTCCTCAGTACATTCAGCATCTGGCTCATATTCACGATCGCGACCATATTCTCAAAACGAGCATTTTCAACCTCTTCAAAATTAGTATTTTGATTTGAATTGGCCATCAAGAGCACTGGGAGAAATTCTGGTGATTTAGTGACCATTTTGGCCGGCTGCCTCACTCATTTTCATTAATTTATTTACTTATTATTACTTTATATTATTGCCTGCCTGGTGCACCAAAGTGATTCCTCAATTCAGCAATTCAATATTAAATTGATAAATCATGAAGTTTGTTTTGACTTGCAATGCTATGATTTGCCTTGGGCAGGCCTACAGAAACTGTTTTGGGCATGGAGACTCACACATATATGATGTTACTTTGCGATTCTGAGCGAAATTTCAAATTTGTGAGAGAGAAAAAGCTGTGATTAGTTTTATTTATTTATTTATTTTTTATTCTGTGGCTGAGACAGGCTTCCATACTTTTGCATCATTGTTGACATCAAACTTGGAGCAACATGTCCACCTTTGACATATTTGATAATCCGTTTGGAAAGCTGTGGCTAAAAGGAAAAAAAAAAATCAGTGAATATAAATTTAAGTTTTTGTATTTTCTGTGCAAAAAGTTATAAAATGGCTTCCGAAAACAGACAATATACCACGCAAGTCTTATGGACTACTTTTGGTCACACTATAGTTTAGGGACCAATTCTCACTATTAACTAATTAACTTTTAACAAATTTTGCCTCACTCTTAATTTGCTGCTTAGTTTATTTTATTTTATAGCACAATAAAATAACAGTCGCTGACCATTGTGCTGTACAAAAATTGTAAAACGAATATAAAAAAAATTACATACAAAGACATAGTACATACAGAGAAACGAGCTCATGACAACTTGCATACTATAAGCCTTCTCTAAATGAATGGCTTTAAGTTTAGCTTTAAACAGATTCTGTAGAGATTATCCTAATCATAAAGGATAGGCCAATTTTGGGCCGACTTATGGCAAAAACCTGGTCTCCCTTTCTTTTTAACTGTCATCTGGGAACCTTCAGCAGTTTCTGATTTGATGACCTGAAACATCTAGCAGACATGTTGTCACAAGTTCAGATAAATAAGAGGGAGCCAGCCCTTTTAAGACCTTAAAAACAAAAAGTAAAATCTTTTCTAAAAACACACTGGCAACCAATGCAGAGAGAGTAAGAGGGGGGTATTGTGCTCATATTTGCGTGTGCTTATTCATAGTTAGTAAGGTAGTTGTTAAGTTTAGGGTTAAGGGATCTAAAATATGGTCATGCAGAATAATTCATTATTTTTGTCCTGTTTAAGTACTAATAAACAGCTAATATGCTAGTAATATAAGCAACTAGTTAATAGTGAGAATTGTTCCCAAAACTGAATTTTCACACTACTTTAGCTGATGAGCATGGTCAGAGCATGATGAGGGAAAAGAGCAGCGTGAACACTCTGCAAAATCTCTCCTCTTGAGTTTTTGGGTGAAACTGACTTTTTAAACAAGTTAATTGAAAGCTGCTGTTTCCCAAAGCAAACCAAACTGAATGAGTTTTAGAAACTTTTCATGGTTGTCAGTGTCGCAGTTGGGTGTGAAAGTGGCCCGTATCAGCCATGGGGAGGGCTCATGTAGAGAGTTGTACAGAACTTCTGTGATTTTCATCCGCCCACATACACTGGCAGTTTGCTTTTCATGTTCAGCAGCTGCACAGCTCAATTACTCACTGGGTAATCCAATTGACTGTTTCCTCTCTCCCCCCGTGTTCTCTAGACATGTCGCAATTCACAGCAGATGGTGCTAAAAACTAACATCATCAGCTCCATTCTGTGTGGGACTGCGAAATGATGCCGCCGGTCGATCCTTTTTGCTTTTTATTTTTTCATCTATTTTCTCTCAATGTCTCAAATTAGAGCCTTTAGCAAATAATTCCCTCTCGCGATGCCAAATTGTCTAAATAATTGCTCATGGTGTGAATGAGAAACACGCTTTTTCCTGACATCAGTGGGGAAGCTTTTAATTATTAATTTTGGCTCTTTTTTTTTAAAGTCACTTTGCAGGAAGTTGTGCGCTGCTCATTACAATCAGCAGAAATGTGTGGGGCTCCTGTGCCCGGCTATCACCGCCTCTGATGCACCACAGAGATTGATTGACTCGTCTCACAGACTAAATATGCATTCAGCATGATTGCATGATTTATGCATAAGCACCCTGAAAAATATTAGAACAACTTAATAATTTGTATAAATTTGCCTTATTTTGCATGTTTAATACATCTTTTGGTATTCTTGCCACTTAATATATCCTAGTGTTTTTTATGTTGTAAAGTGATTTGAACAAACTCCAGACCCCGAAACTTAACTTGTCCTGCATTGTTTGTGCTATGGACATAAATGGTTCCTCAAGTTGCGTGGCTTGCTGAAGAGAAGTGATCAGGCTTGTCACCTAGCAGACGACTCTGGCCATATTCTGGAGATCAGAATATCATAGAGTCTTGTAGGGTTGGGAATCGAAAATCGATTCCAATTCCAGAATCGGATACTTGTTGTCAAATTAAAATTTCGATTTCTATGCACTTTTTTTTTTTTTCTACTTCATCTGTGAGGACCGGACCTAACGATCTGCTAGGACCTTGCTCGCTAATCTAAGTGCTCCAAAGCTTGGCTACATTAACGATCAGAAGCCAAAAAAGCTAAGTATAATATCTAAACATGCTGTATCACAGCTAAACATGTTGCAAGTGAGGTGTCACCACCAACATGACAAAGCACTTTAATTTAATAGATCGTTAAAGATGATTCTATTCCTAAATTACAGTGATTCATCTGTTTCATTCCTCCACCTTTGACGTGTGCGATCACAACGCTGTGATCACGTGGTTCGTCCGTGCAGAGTACGATCACATCAGTGTGTTTTGAACATTTAAATTTGCGTTCGCTCTGCCGCTGACCTAAAGAGAGCAGCTGTCTGTCATGAATGAAATAGCTTCACAATCTTTTCAACCACACAGTATCATTATTTCTGTGTTACAAACATTCAATGCACAGAAGTACGGGGATAAACGTTTATAGTTCAGATATAAAAGGTGTGTACGATGTGTATGGTAGCGAATTAAAATAGAGTAAGTGACCTTTTGAAAGTAATTTGACCCTTCAAATGAAGATTTATCGATTACATTGTTACGCCAGTAGGTGGCGAAAAGGGGCTGTTAAAATGTATTTATCTTTGAATCATACAAGAGATTCGTTTAAGAACGCTGATTCTCATCCAGTAATGAAACAAGTACATCTTGAGTGAGTCATTGAATCATTCATTCATAAATTACATGTGATTTATCCAGAATCATGCAGTTCTGTTTTGCACACAAACGGCTCTTAAAGAGTCCAGTTTTTATGTAGCCTGTTGATTTTAGTTCATGGAATTGAGCTGCTACTAAATGGTTTGCAAAAAAGAGAGACAGGATAAATGTTTGATATCATTATTTAATCAAACTGGGAATCGAAAAGAATCTGAAGCGATAAGCGGAATTGGAATTGATACAATTCAAACGATACCCAACCCTAGAGTCTTGTGGGTAGCTGTTTTGACCCCAAAGCAACATCCTAATGCTGTGATCTACATGGCCAGGGACCTCTGATGTATACTTCAGACTATGGGTCTTGGCTGTCATTGGGCAATATTTTGTGTCCTACGTTGATATACTGTTATGATCAGTTGTTTTTGTAGAGAACGGTTCAAAATCGTCTGCTTTCCTGCGGTCTGAGTTGATGTTAAAAGCAGTAGGCGTATGTACTCTAGCTAGATAATGCAAATAAAATTTAAGTGAAGATGATTTCTTTTGGATGAATGTGTGTCACTACATTTCCCCACTACATAAACAAACTTCTAGAAATGCTGGGAAAGCTAATTTTCTTTCTCCTCCTAACTATGACTCAAAGCAACTCATGCATTTCATTAATTTTGTCTCAAAATGAGAGGTGGAAAAGTTGTGAGTGTGAAATGTGACAGCGAGTCCCTCAGGCAGTGTTTTGGCAGTCTGAGCGGTAACACTTTATTTTGAAAATCCACTTTAGATATTCTACTAACAGTAAGTAACTTTGTAACTACATGTCAACTAGCAGTCATTAGAGTATTAGTAGACTGTCTGCTTGATATCTTCTAACACTTTATTTTGATGGGTCCACAACATACTGACTATGAGAAAGTTTGCAAGTATTCTACTAACCCTAAACCTAACCTAACAGTCTACTCTGAGAGTTAGTAGACATGTAGTTGCAAATGAATGAGAATTAGTTGACATGTAGTTACAAAGTTACTTATAGTTAGTAGAATGTCTAAAGTGGACTATCAAAATAAAGTGTAACCGTCTGAGCTGATTCGAGTCTTGAAAATAAGCCAAACCAATCTCATCTTCCTTTGATACTCTGGACACAGTATTCTTTGCACAGGTTTAGAGAGGTGTCATCTCTTTCTGTCTGATGAGAATGCACTGCTAGTTTGAGTTGTTATCCTTGCATGCCTAGATTTTGGACTTTAGACAAAGTTTACAGCATGCTCTGATCGCCCATTTAGGGAGTTTTCAAGGATAATCGTTTCAGAACCGGGCTAATTTTTTTCTAAAATAATTGGTCAGAGGTTGTCTTAATGAAGTGCTTTTGGTCTGATTAAAAACTAACTCCGTAATGGTCCGGTTCTGGTCTGGTTAGGAAACAATCCGACCAAACGAGCCAGCTAACCAAGCTATATCATAATTCATAATGGGAAATGTGTTGTGTAAAAAGCAGCAGTGGCTGAGCACATTAGTATCAGTTGAAAACCAAAGAGTGCCTTGAAATGCCATTAATCTTCTCTGAAATGCGGTCCTGCCTTGCAGGGAAGCTAATGCACAAAGCTAACTTGTTAATTCATCTTGATGGATGGCGCTGTGAGCGTAATCATGGAACATAAACCGGTGCTCTCTGATCAATGAGAGGACAGTTTACTTATATGTGACTTGCATAAATACATTTTGCAACTGTTTCTAAAAAACACAAATGATCTGCAGTTCTGAAAATGTACTTAGACAGGAAGAGGCTGACGGCATGTAAGAAAGTGAAACTTGGTTAAGGACTGGGTGTAAATATTGACTTAATGAATCTTGATATTGATTCTTAATCGATATTTAGTTTATTTCCTGCACTACTTTTCAGTGTCAGCACACTCCTGCTGCTGGATCTACAGCCTCGGTGAAGCGTCCTCACTGAATGCATGTAATAACGTATAGCACAACCAGTGTAGTCTGATTTATGAACAAGTGAATCTCATGAACCACTTCTCTTTAGTGAATCAGAAACACAGCTGAAGCACATGAACAAATGACTCTTTTGAATATGACTCTCTTTTCAGTGAATCATTTCAGTGAAACTCATTGTCTGAATTGAATCAAATTGAATGAAAAATTACTAGGGAGGCACGATATTGGATTTTTGCCGATATCTGATATGCCGATATTTTTCAACTCATTTGGGCTGATGCTGATACCGATATATTTCCTTTTGTTTGGAAACAACACAAAGTCTCTCCTGTGCAGAAATTATAAGCAAATTGTTTTTCATTTTGGTAAGTTTTTAACAAGAACTTATTTGTTAGATAAGTTATTTTATAATGACAGTACATTGAAGATTTGAAAATAACTATAAATAAACTATATTCAATCGCTGCATTTTTTTTTCCAGAAAGATTCAGTGGTAATCTCAGCATTTTATTTTAAGATTTAAGATTTGTAAATGGTCTAAAGCAAGAGTTGTGCAAATTCTGAAAATCTTTTAGAGCTCAAAAAAATAACATTACACATTAATGAATAAATCGGTATATATAAAATTAATTTAAAAGGGTCATAGGATGCTACATGCACTTTTACAAGTTGTTTGAACTGAAATGTGTGTTGGCAGTGTGTGTACACAACCACTCTATAATGATAAAAATTTAAACTTAATTTTTGATTAGTAATATGCATTGCTAAGAACTTAATTTGGACAACTTTAAAGGCGATTTTCTCAATATTTTGATATTTTTGCACCCTCAGATTCCAGATTTTCTAATAGTTGCATCTCGGCCAAATATTGTCCTATCCTAACAAACCATACATCAATGGAAAGCTTATTTATTCAGCTTTCAGATGGTCTATAAATCTCAATTTAAGGGTTTATGACTGGTTTTGTGGTCCAGGGTCACATATGTTGCACACTCCAGTCTGAAACTCAGACAATATTGTTGTTCATTAGGTGTCTTTAACTTTGTCTGGCAGTAAAGCAGCTGTCCAGGAACATTTGGGTAGTTGACCCCGTGGTCAGGCCGTGCCTCCCTCCCTCCACCAGCTTCCTCTGGAATCTCTCCCCAGTGTCTCGCTCCCACTAAATTGCTTTACTGTGCATCCCATCGATTCCGATGGAGAGCCCGTGATGAATGGCTTTAATAAAGCGAGGTGCAGTTCCCCAAATAAATGAGCGACCTGAAGATTTATTAAGAGCATCTGCATTTGGCTGGGACAGAAGCGTGGACCAGAGGGAGAGACTTTTAATGATGAATGCTTCTCTTTCTGCTTCCTCCCCAAAGTGTCACGACACTCTTGTACAGTTTGGTGGCTTCTTGGCGTCTAACCTCAGCACAGAAGACTACATCAAAAGGGTGCCGTCAATCGATGTCCTCTGCAACCAGTTCCACACGCCACACGATGCTGCTTTCTTCCTGTCTCGGCCCATGTATGCCCATCAGATTCTGGTGAGTGTTCAAAACACACTCTCTTTCACACCCTATTGCAGCAGTTCATATGTACCAACATAAAGTCTGTTGACAACCACACAAATGTTCGGCACAAAAATTTGGTCCAGTTTGCATTAAATTTGTCTGTTCAGGCTAATGCAAAAAAAAAAAAAAAGTATAATAAAACAAATTCAGACAAGCTGAAATGACAAGGCAGAATCACTCTCTGATAATAGGTGGTCCATATAGAAAACCAGAAATACACAAAGCGTGGCTCATCTTTTCATTTCTGACACCCAGAAAGAAAGTCAAACAGTATTTATATTCTGTTCAGATTTTTGTATTTGATATATTGTTTAGACGATACGAGAGGGCCAGTTCCAGGTTCTTCCTCTGCTATTCACTGATGCGTAACAGAATAGTCAGTTTGTAAGCACCAGTTGTAATTTTATGTAATAGCGATGGCTTTGGCCATGTAAACAAAAACTTAGAAATATAAGAGATTGGAGTAAATGTTTGTCAAACTGATGGCATGTGAATGTTTTACAGTCTGAACAGATGCATTCATAGCTGTTCATTCAAATTAAAGGCCAAGTATGCAGGCCTAATGTCACCTAGTGGAATTATTTTCAAACAACCTTTGCAAACGCTCATTACACTTAGGCTTACACCTTTACAATTGCTTTTATTTTTGCAATATCTTACAATCTCAGTTGAAACACAAACATCCCATTCAAATCCACAGGCTTGTAAAAGCACTGCCAATTTTCACCCTTGTTTTACCCCATTGTCTGTCTCAGCGTATTTTGGCAAGTCTTCACATTTTGGCTTGTACTTATGTAATGGAAATTTTCACAGCTTGGTTTGTGTTGGTGGGAACAGGGCACTTGCGTTGAATCCAAAAGTTTGATGTTAGCATGTTTGCTAAGCTGATGGTTTAGTAATTCAAGCACAGAAGTACCATGCATGACCTTGGATGATTTTTGACAGTGCATTTTGGGATTGTTTTATTCGCTGTTTTATATTATTTTAGTCGCTGGGGTATATTTGTAGCAATAGCCAACAATAAATACATTGTATGGGTCAAAATTATCCATTTTTCTTTTATGCCAAAAATCATTAGGATATTAAGTAAAGATCATGTTCCATGAAGATATTTAGTAAATTCCCTACCATAAATATATCAAAACTTAATTTTTGATTAGTAATATGCATTGCTATGGACTTCATTTGGACAACTTTATAGGCGATTTTCTCAATATTTAGATATTGTCAGACAAATATTGTCCGATCCTAACAAACCATGCATCAATGGAAAGCTTATTTATTCAGCTTTCAGATGATGTATAAATCCCAATTTCGAAAAATTGACACTTTTTAAGTACAGCGTCACAGATAGTATTTAATAGTGGTTGAAATTGCGAAGCATCCGATAATGCAATATTACCGCATTGCTTCAATACAATTCTTGCATTACAGTAAACTGATTTATTTGTTGTATTTGGCAGTATTATAATCTCTATATGATGCTGCCTGCCTAATGAATATTTCATACAGAGCTCATTTTGTGTTTCCCCTCAACCCCCGCTTACAGCTCTCCAGGGCGGTGTAAAGTTAACCCCATATCTCTTCACCTCTAACAAGATTTACCGCCCCCTAGTTCCACGTGCAGGCCTCTGCGCACACTCATCTTCAGGCCTGTTTGTTGTGCTTGAGTGAATTATAAAGCTTGGCTGCTGTCTTTGTGTTCCCATCAGTCCAAATATGACGAATTGAAGAAGGCAGAGAAGGGCAGCAGGCAGCAGCAGAAGGTCCACAAGTACATCGCAGCCTGCGAGCAGATCATGGCCCCTGTGCACGAAGCTGTCGTGTCTCTTCACTTGCCCAGAGTGTGGGATGACCTTCGACCTCAGTTCTATGCCACCTTCTGGTCCCTCACCATGTACGACCTGGCGGTGCCACACAACGCCTACGACCGCGAGGTCAACAAGCTGAAAATACAGATCAAGGGTATCGAGGAAAACACTGAGATGGTGAGACACTTAAGCCCTTGCGGTGAAAATCCAGCCCAAGAGATCTGCTGCTGTGTATATTGTTGTTCAAAGTGAATCAGCTGTTACTGTGCTTGCTCACTGTTAATAGGATTATTTAAAGCTATTAAAATAATTGGTAACACTTTTAGTATAGGGGCCAATTCTCACTATTAACTAGTTGTTTATTAGCATGCCTATTATTAACATTGGCTGTTTATTAGTACTTATAAAGCACATATTCTGCGTGACCATATTCTACATCCCTAATCCTACCCAATACCTAAACTTAACAAACTACTTTACTAACAATTAGTAAGCAGCAAATTAGGAGTTTAGGACAAAAGTCGTAGTTAATGCTTTGGTAATAGCGAGAATTGGACCTTAAAATAAAGTGTGACTGAATAATTACTTAAAAGTTGAAATGGTTTCTACTTCTCAAATACTTGAAGACTGCTTGCAATCAGTAGCACATCTGACTAATATTAAAATCAGCTACTGCAACTTTAATAATTTTAGTGGCAGTCTATATTTGCTGGAATAATGATGCTGCTATGAAGCTCTCAAGTTTGTCATAATTAACAGCCCATGAAAACATTTGCTCTCAGTGTAAAGTATTGCAGTCACATGACCTTAGTTTTTAGAATTTAGTTGCACCTCATAAAAATAGTTTTAAAGCCTCTCTTCATCGATAATGCTGCCAGCCACGTATCAGAGGTTTTGTGAAGTGTTTAGCTTCATATACGATTTAAAGGTCTCGGAGAGAACAGCTCAGTGTTTCCTGCAGGATTGTGTTGCAGCAGCAGGGCATGAACCGTACAAATTGGCATTTTCACCAATGCCTTCTGAAAGAGCTCGCAAAAGTAACGGTTCTTGGGTCTATTCAAGTCATATATTAACTTTTGCTTCAGTGAATCCGTTAACGTAGTTACGGATAAATTGAGAATTTAGTTGTGTCAGATAATGGATATTGTTGTTTTAGTGACTGGCAACAGCAACAACAGCTTTTTGCGATGCAGATATCAACCTTCACATTCAGCATAGACCTCAATCATCCATAATATAAGCTTGTTTTGCTATGAGGCTGTTGATTTACAAATGGCACTACTAAATACTCATGCAGGAATTATTGCAATGTCCGGTGGTTGTTCATGAAATGCTCTTCTCTGTTGCAGCCTCTGAATAAAAAGAAGAAAGAGAAGGAACGCTGCACAGCGCTGCAGGACAAGCTGCAGGAAGAGGAGAAGAAACAGCTGGAGCATGTGCAGAGAGTCCTGCACCGCCTCAAACTGGAGAAAGACAACTGGTTACTCGCCAGTGAGTCCTCAGATCACTCTCTCACAATATCTCTGCTTCTCAAAGGCTCTGCGTGTCTCGCTCACCCGCCTATTCCCTCTGTTCTCAGAGTCCACTAAGAATGAAACCATCACTAAGTTCCTGCAGCTCTGCATCTTCCCCCGCTGCGTCTTCTCAGCCATTGATGCCGTTTACTGCGCTCGCTTCGTGGAGCTGGTGCACCAGCAGAAGACGCCCAACTTCTGCACCCTGCTCTGCTACGACCGAGTGAGTTCACTGCAGCATGCTGAACCATTACAGGCACTTTCAACAAATGGGCTACAAAATAGTGTCTCCTGTGTTTTTTCTCCCTTTAGAACAATAAAAAAGCACAAATCCCATGAACCGTTAATGTGAAATGAAACGCGTCTAGTCTTAAATTAAGCAACATCACAACATGACAGTTTGTTGAACTTGTTTGTTTCAGTGTAAAAAGTTATTTATTTATGTGCTTATCTACCAAAGACCACTATTTAGCAGTGTCACATTGCGGTTACAACCCTTTTACCACATAACTGTCACACTGTGAAAAAAAATTTAACTGGTGTAATTTAGATGCTTTCTACAGCATAAGAACACAAAATTAACTGAATTCCATTTTCTCAGTTTTTACACTTTTGTTATTTGACTACGTTCACAAATATCAACTGTTCAACCCAGTTACCCAAATTATTGACAACATAATCAAACATATATTTATTTTAACATAAAATATGGTTTGGGACCTACAAAGATTTTATATAAGATTATTTCTATTTTTTTTTATTAGTTTTTTGCCTTTATTCGAAAGCACAGTGGAGAACCAGTATGTTCTTCATTTTTAAGATGTAATTTTCTGGGATGAGTATCTATCACACTCACACACTGTCACTTTAAATCAGTCTGAATAAGCTCTTTTGCACTGCAAATCATTTTTTTTATTTTTGCACTACAATCATAATATCTGCACTGTTGTTTACTTTACTGGTTTGCACTATATCTGCCATATGCCTTGTGCTTTATATATATATTTTTTACATTTTACCTTATTTGTCTATTTGTATAGTTGTATTTTGTATTTTGTATTTAATCTGTATTTATGTTATCTGTATGCACCAAGGGTCTGAGAGTAACGCAATTTCAATTCTCTGTGTGTATGTGCTGCACATGTGGAATAATTGACATATATATATATATATATTTACATTTGACCTTATTTGTATAGTTGTATTTTGTATTTAATCTGAATTTATGTTATCTGTATGAACCAATGGTCTGAGAGTAACGCAATTTCAATTCTCTGTGTGTATGTGCTGTACATGTGGAAGAATTGACAATAAAGCAGACTTGTAAATAATTATAAACAAACATTTGTTGCAGATTATTTAGTCACTGTTGGGTGACAGCATAATTTAGGCTCAAATCTGCAACCCTGTGACTTGTTCTGATGTATTTTAATTTGTTTGGAAGCTTCATTTCATTTGCATGTGTTCATAATGATAATTAATAAAAAATAAGCAAATCAGGTTTTTAAACTGTGCTCTGATGATGTGGAAGATCTCATTTAAAGTAAAAAGTAACACAAAGACATTTAGTTCGACCTCCTGACCCTTTATTGAAAAAGAGCACGAATGTGATTTGATGTAGGAGTTTTAGTCTCTCTTTGCTACTCTCTTGATGGAAAGTGCTGTCGCAGGGCTGTTAATGGCTTGTTTGCCTTGTGTTTATGTGCCATTGGCTACAGTCAGAGAGCTACAAGCTTATCTAGGATTCTGTTTGTTAATGTGTTGCTCTCTTGTGCTTTTATCTGAACGTTTGAAGTATTTCCATTATGTTGATTAGAGCATGGCGCGGGGTCTGTGTATAATGACAGCAGCAGCTCTCTCACAGCCTACTCAACCCTCTCTTTCTGTCTCTATCCGCGCTCATCTAGGTGTTCTCTGATATCATCTACACGGTAGCGAGCTGCACAGAGAACGAGTCGCGCCGCTACGGCCGCTTTCTGTGCTGCATGCTGGAGACTGTGACTCGATGGCACAGCGACAGAGCCATCTATGAGAAGGTATGGTGTGCTTTAGACTCTGGTTCAATGAATCTGTCAGTGCTGTCTCTAGCGTGTCCTAGTCACCGCTAAATTGGTATCTGTGAAAACGAGTTGGCAGCGCGTCCCTTCCCTGTAGGATCAGAGTGTTTTTAAATGCGTGTTAGGAGCAAACTGATCCTCAAAGTTTAATCATCTTCCATTTTCAAATTTTTTTTTATAATAGACTGTTATTACATAACCAGATAAAATCGTTTCTGTCTGTATATTTTGAGGTTTTGGGTTAAACGTGCCTTTGGGAAACCTGATGTGATCTGTTTGTCTGTTTCTGGTTCCTTCACTAGGAATGTGGCAATTATCCTGGGTTCCTGACTATTTTCAGAGCCAGTGGTTTCGACGGAGGGAACAAAGCAGATCAGCTGGACTATGAGAATTTCCGGCATGTTGTCCACAAATGGCATTACAAGTTGACTAAAGTTAGTACTGTGCTCTTCAGACAACAAAAACGTATCTCATGTTGTAGAGCTGGTTGATTAAAAATTCTTCAAAATCTTTCCTGATAATTAAACAAATTAACTGTGCATCAGTTTTGGCTGAGAAATTACCCCCCACAAGATCATTTAAGACATTGAGAACTTGCAAAGAAGTACCTTTCGAAATATTTAGCTTAACCCTCAAAGACCGAGACAGCCGCCCGCGGCTAAAAATAACTATTGTTCTTAAATGTTGAATAACTTTTGAACCTCTAATCCTATCTGAATGCTTTAAAAAGTGTTGTAAAGCGGAGATAACTCATTTGTCTTATTTGGATATTCAGAGGCTCCGCAGCGCACGTGATTACGTCATCACATTTTGACAACATTGATTCGTCAGAAGAAACCAATGCATTTTGTTCCTCTGAGCCAAACAGGAGCGATTGTTGACGCTTAGTCCCACCCCCGTGCACAGATTGGTTGAAACCGTCCCGGATTCAACCAATAAGCATAGGTTTTGGTCTTTTGAACCACCATTTAGGATTTTTCATTGTAAATTTGAACAAACGCAAAGTGAAAGTAAAGTCTGTCGTGCGTGCATGAAAACACACACAAAATAACACATTTGCATGAGAGAACTCTCTGAAAAAGCCCAGAAAAACACACGACTGAGTACTTTGACATAAAACAAACCAAAAACAAGGATGAAACAGCGGTACATATTGGATAAAGCACGAGAATTTATGTCTTCGCGTCGCTAGGCGATGTCCCGGTAAAATTGATTCCGATACAGTTACAGCCAGCGGATCGATCATTTATATTATGTATATTATGTAAATAATTCTTATAGTTCATGAAGATAATTTTCACTATTTTTTCCGTTGCACTCTGTATATTTCTCTCTCATTTTGTGTGTAGTTTGTGAATCATTTGCACTGTTTGTATTTTTGTTGCAGAAGACAAATTGTGCAATTGTTTTCACTAAATAGCTGCATGGTTTGTGTTTGTTGTTGTTCATACTCGGATTGAAAATATATTTCTCTGAAAAAGTCACTTTTTTTTTTTACTGTTTTGTTATTATATAACACTGATTCCATTTTCTTTACTCCCTAAATGTTTTTTTAGACACATCTATATTGTTAGTAAACTAAATAGACCTGTTTTTCACTGAAAAGCGCCTATAACAATATTGTAATAAATGGCTATAACTTGTTTGGGGAATGTTATATGTAGACACAATTTTATTTGGATACAACTTTCTAAAGAAAAAATCCAAACTTCAGGAGTTTCTGTTTGAGTACACGGTAAAAAACACCCAATTGTTGCTTGTGTTTTTTTCTTAAAATTCTGGAAATTCATGCATTCTTAGAGAAAACAAAAGGAAAACTGGGACTTAGAATTAGCTAGACTGAAACTTCAAGTTCTCCTGTTTATAATGACTATGACACTTGATGCTGACTGCTAAAATAGGTCTTAAAAAACAAAGAAAAGTGCAGACGTGTCAGGTGCCCCAAAAATGTTCTAGGTCTTTAAGGGTTAAACATTGCATACATAATATATGTGTATTAATGTGTAATGTTTATTAATAAAAAAAGGAAATGATTAAAAAAAAATGTAAATAATACTCTCAACAACTGTCAGTAGGTGGTGGCAAGCCACTGTCTTAATGAGTGAGGCATTCATTCAACCAGTTCATTCAAATGACTGCTTCATTCGAGCAAAAAGCAGTAGATTTGCTTGCAGTTCTTTGAATGGGGCACTGAATCATTGGCTAACTCGAATTGTTAAAAACCGAGGATTCATTCAGTGATGAAACACTGCTGTGTTGCTTGCAGACGCACTATAGAGCATATAGTTTTCTTTTGCGAAATCGAGCAAAGCAGACAATTTTAGGGCCTTTCGCACCGCTTTAGTTCCAGAACTAAATGTACAGTACTAAAGTACTGGGACGATTTTGCGCGAACTATTTCCCAGTACCATTTAAAGGGTTGCATTCGCACGGACAGTGTGTACTAAGAAGTGACGTAGGCCGGTCGACAGCAACAGTGGCGATCAACAACAGAAACAAAGAAGAACAACGTTAACAACAGGAGGATGGAGGACGCTGTGATCGGAGCTGTGTTTTTGTTGTGTCTCGCGGGTTTCACAATAATGGACATGGAAAGTCGACGTATACGTAAAGTGATTGAAAGAACAGAAAGGAGGACTAAGAATCTCCAACGACAACTGGCAGTGCTACATTTGCTACAAGTGCCTTCACTTCAGCGTCCGTCCTTCTATCACTGTTCTCCATACTTGCGAAATAAGTTGACACAATGTTTACAGTATGTTTACACTGAGTTTTAAATCATGGCGGGTGAGGGCGTTTTCATACGTGTTTGGCCAATCAATGTCTACTTACGTCACGATTAGTACCAGTTGTGCTGGTTAGACCCTGCTCCGGAGTAGGAGCTAATTTGGTTCTCGAAAAAGGCAGTCCAGTACTAAAATCGCACCCAGTTCCGGTGGTGCGAAAACGCCAAAAAGTGGGTAGTTCCACAATTAGTTCTGGTACTATGAAAAGGTTCCCGCGGTGCGAAAGGCCCTATAGTTTTCTTTTGCGAAATCGAGCAAAACAGACAATATTGAGTCTAAAATTCAACATGATATTATCTTGATGCTTCTGTACAATTGTACAATTAACAAGATCACATTTGCAATCGTGAAAGATATTCAAATAGGCTACATCACACAGTCAGTCGTTGTCCTGCATCATGTTCATCTGCGTACAGTGGGGTCTGTTAAATTGACGGCACTTCCTCCTAAGCAGCCAATGTTGCTAAACAGGCAATGTTGTTTAATGCAACTACTCAGCTGTTGCACAAATTGGAACTAAATCTGAATTCAAGGCATGTTAATGACCAATTTCTTTCATTATTTTTCAAATGATAATGTTTAAACGTTGTAGCCATGACCCTAGCGGTTTGTATTGTGCCTTGATACTTAGTCACATGTGAAATACATGTGTGTTACTGCACAAAATCTGTGATCCTCATTTAAATGTGATTTCTTACAATATTCCTGGCGTTTTTGATTGCATATGTAAGGCTTTGTTTTTTTTTGTGACTTCTTTTTTTTCTGACTTTGTACAGAAAAGTCTCCTCTTCTTCTTCCCTCAGGCGTCAGTTCACTGTCTGGAGACGGGCGAGTACACCCACATCCGCAACATCCTGATCGTGCTCACCAAGATCCTACCCTGGTACCCCAAGGTGCTGAACCTGGGCCAGGCTCTGGAGTGCCGCGTTCACAAGATCTGCCAGGAAGAGAAAGAGAAGAGGCCCGATCTCTATGCGTTAGCCATGGGGTAACTGAGCCGAGAGCCGGCTGGCCTCAGCATTTCAAGTGCTTTCACCACACTGGTTTAGAGGGTCCAGGCTTATCTTTCACTTTCAGGAGTCTAGCTGGTGGTAGTGTAGAGTTTTCACATTTTCATCGTGCTTGCTTTCTTTTAAGAATTTTCAGTGGCTAAATTTCTGAAGGTGTGTATTATATCTGCTGGCGTTATGAGGATGATGGCAGCTTCTAGAACTATATGCCAAGAGGTTATGAAATGTAAACTTGTCTCTGAATCACACAAACCATAGCCAATTTTTCCTCAATAGCAAAAAAGTGAGATGGTCCTCACTGCAGAACACAAGATCCGGGGGGCGAGGTTGGCTCCAGATCCAACTCCTCCCACCTTACATATTCCTAAACCTACCCGACTCCACCCCCTTGATGCCTAAACCCACCCATCTCCACCCCTAAAACCTACCAATCTCCACCCCCCAGATGTGGATCCAACCACGCCCCCTGGATCTTTGTTCTGCAGTGAGGGCTACTGAAAAAAGTAGCAATTTTGTAGTTCAGTTTAACTGTCTAGATTTTCTGCTATTTTAAATTCAGTCCCACAGCTTTTATTAGATCATCCCCAAATTTGTGACAATTGATCAGTTGGTTTGCCAAACCATGCACTTGTGACACATCAAAATCTGATCAAAGACAGCAGTGAAGCTGCATCTTTGCAAGGCTTTTATTTAAAGACCTGAAATAAGCTTTTATTATTATTATTTCTTGCAACCCCTCTACTCATAGGGAGTTCGGTCACCTTCACTCCAGTCATTTGTTTAAGTCTGTTTTCAAGCAAAACCTTGAGGAAGTTGCAGGTGAATTCTTGAATCTTGGCACAAAAGAGAAAGATATCACTTTACACACATTTTTGGCACATGTCATACTAGGGCTACATGAAGAATCGTGTTTTAATTGATCACGATTTCTGCTTCTATGAATTTATTAATCGTCTGCAATATTTGCCCGGTGGATACTTATCCTGGAAACATTTTAAGTTCATTTATTTTAATTTAAGCCTCCACAAGCTTTTATGTGTGCGGTTGCCAGATGTCAAGAGTTTAAATCCCCCAATCAAGAGCTTTTCTCTTAAATCGATACAATTTATACAGAGTGCCCTACCCGCTCTCTCTTACACAGCAGAAAAAGCACTGATGAGCTGAAAAACCTGGAGCTTAGCGATTTCTATTGAGATATTCTGCTCAAATGAAAGTGTAATCCTTTCACAAGGTTGTTTACACTGTAATCATGCAAGTTGACGTTCTCTTGATTTGTGCTTATGTGAAAGTGCAGTAAATCTCGAGAAATTAAAAAAATTAAATAAAAATGAGAATATTTGGAGCAAAATAATCATAATTAACAGTCTAAGCATTGTCATGCAGCCCTGTGTCATACATGTATATGGAGCATTTGCGTATCTTTGCCATCGTGCCGCAGAAATCTGGTTACCATCTCGATATATTTACTCAGCCTTAAAGTGATTTTCCTAAATGTACCACTAGGGGCGCTGTAACCAAATAAATCCACTCTGCCTCACAATGTGCATGTGCAAGTAGGCTTAAAACATTACTGGATAATTGCAGAAATAAATCATTAATAAGGGAAGTCCCCCTACGCCAACCATCAGCTGTTCCTTAACTATCAGCAGGGAGTTTCTGGGCGTCTCTCTTGGCAGAGGTTAGCCACATTAAGGCAGATTTATTCGTTGCTCTTTTCCGCCGTTTTCCCGCGTGTGCTCCGCAGTGGGATTGATTAAATGTGTCGGACTGGTGCTGTTGAAGTCATTTCAGGCGCATGTGAAGGGTTGTGAGGTTGTTTGAGGAGGAAACTCGGAAGACATAATTCAGTGCAGTCATTCCATCCAAAATTGCAGGAGAAGGTTTGGCCTCTTAAAGAGCATCTTCATTGCTGCTTAATGAACACAGTGCATTCAGCTATTGGACTTTGCCGGCCGGAAGACTTTTGCCGTGCCATGATAAGATGATCTTATCAGTTATCAGCTGTAATGGGCTGTTTTGCTTCACTGGAGCTAGAATTAGTGACGAGGACTTGATCATGCCCCACTGATTCCCAAGGGCTGCTCTCCTGAATGACACAGCAGATCTGAGACAAAGAGCAGGTCTGCTTCCTACATAGGCAGCTACGTTTAAGGCAGTATCCTACAATAGAAGTGACTGATTTAAAATTCAGCAGGACATGCGTTCTTCTCATATGAAACACACGTGACAATCAACTCAATTGATTCTAGTTGAGTTTGCGGATGGCTTTTTGCTAAGCTAATGGCATGAAACATTTAAAGTTTTATTTTATTAACCTTTAGTAATCCACATTTCCTATCTGCATCTTTAAATGAGCTTGTTAGAAGCTTACTGCTTACCTTTTGGACTAGACATCACATTGAGAGATACTACTGTTCATATTTTTGGTCAGTAAGATTTTTATTAATACTTCTAGTAAAGACACATTACGTTGATCAAGTGTGACAGTAAATATTTTTACGTTGTTACAAAAAAGAAAAAAAGCTGTTCTCTTAGGCAAAAATATTAGACGTCACAGCTGTTTTAACATTGATAATAATCAGGAATGTTCCTTGAGCAGCAAATTAGGGCTGTCAAAAACAAATTCGAATTTCGAATATTCGTCAAATTTAAAATAGAAATCCACATTTTAGGTGTGCGTTAAGGAGGCAGCCTTATCAGTGGCGCCCGAGATGCGATGACAATGTAAGCGTCGTTGCATTATAATGCTTTAGTTAGTATATCTAGTTGAAGCCACTAGATGCGGCGCCGCTGCGGTAATATAATAATTTCCGCAGCAAATATACAAATATAGCGGAAAAAGAGAACATCAATGCGGAGAAGATCTTGTTTACGTCAAAACTGAAACCAAGCCGTTCACACAGAACGCGTGTTTTGCGCATTTTCTAGAGGGACATCTATCACCGTTGCACTCACGTCTCGCACAAAAGAGCCGCATGTTTAGAAAGCCATGTAAAATTAATGCAAGTTTAACTTTGAAAAAACATATCGAGACTTTATGGCGGGATTCTTTCCCCATTCCACTGCATCTCATGTTTTTAAATCAAAAATGTACTCTGTGTGATTGGCTTTCGGCGCTTTGTATTAAACTATGCACACATACATGATGCTGTTTTGTTTATAGTTTTTTAAGCAACTTAATTAATTATAAATGGTTTATAAACATTATTTTAAACATTATGCACTTTTTTCACAGATAGTCATGTTATCTTATGCTTTGAATAAACGTGCATTAGTAATATTTTGCTCGATGCGCCCTCTTGTGGCCTCAGGAGAGAATACAAAAGAACTGAAATTATACATTTTAAATTCGAATATAATTTATAAAATTCGAATTTAGTTTTTCAGCCATTTTGACAGCCCTACAGCAAATCAGCATATCAGAATGATTTCTGAAGGATCATGTGACACTGAAGACTGGAGTAATGATGCTGAAAATACAGCTTTGATCACAGGAAGAAATTGCATCTTAAAATGTATTCAAATAGAAAAGTTATTTATAACTGTAAAAAAAATCATTCTCAGTACTATTTTACTATATTTTTAGTCAAATAAATACAGCCTGGGTGAGCATAAGACTTTTCAAAAACTTAAAAAAACAAATTTATAAAAAAATAAAAAATAACTTGCTGACCCCAAACTTTTGAGCAGAAGTGTATATTGGATTAAAATAATGTTGTTTAGTTTGAGCAGCTCAAGTGGTTTAGAGAAAATATGCATGTCATGGGCTTGTAAATTGATTAGATGTCCAATCATAATGAGGAACTGATTTCTTTCTAAATTGGCGTGTCTTCTGTCGCAGAATTGGTAATAACTGTTGACGTGTAATTGCTGCGTTCATGCCACCAGTGGGATTTCTCAGCACACCTCGGCTTATTGGGCAGACGTGGGCCCCGTTCTTTGTGTTTCTCTGTAGACTCAACAAGAAATGAAAGAGGGAATCAGACCTTGTGTTCAGCCTCTCAAAAGCATGCCGATCTAGTTACGTTAATATCGTCGTAAAACCTGGCCTCGGCGAACACAACCCCTCTCGAGGATTTCTTTTTGAATCCATCCATTTCTGAGTGATTTTAAGCATTGCACTTCGTATTACCATCTGCCGTGATTTTAACCGTGTGTGTGACTTGCAGCTACTCTGGCCAATTGAAAGGCAGGAAAGTGCACATGGTGCCAGAAAATGAGTTCCACCATAAGGAGCAGCCAGTGCGCAGCGCCACGCCTGGCACTCTGCAGAACGGACCGGGCAACACGGGCAAGCCTGCCAGCGCTGGCAAAGCCGAGGAGGGCGCCATCGAGGACTCAGGTGACTCTATTTGAATAATCGTCCTGTTTTCCGCCACGAAGCTTCAGGAATTGATTTGGTAGCATCTGGACTTGTTTGTCCATTTATTGAGAGCGTCTTGATACTCATTTAAAATGAAACGCTTTGTCATGGCGTACAACACTCGCGGTGGGAATTGCCACCCTGAGGGAGTTAATTGCAATTACTGTGTGAATTGGGGTAAAACTGCGGAGGACGTTAGAACAGAAAAGCCTGGCACAGACCCATTAACACAGTGCACCAGCAGGATTGATCAAAACAGCAGTGCAGGGCATGTGACTCCAGGCTCCCCAGGATGGCCTCGGACCACTCCACGGCTCTGGCAGCTACTGCGATGAGGCCTTCACTTACCTTGTGGGATTGCAGTAAACATGTTCAAACCCATGTTCATTTTGAGTCCACTGATTTTCAGTTACTTGATTGCATCATGAATATGAATTGCATCATTGCATGCATGACCATATTCTACATCCCTAATCCTAGCCAACACCTAAACTTAACAACTACCTTACTAACTATTAATAAGCATTAGGAGATTGAGGCAAAAGTTGTAGTTAATGGTTTGTTAATTGGACCTTAAAGTGTTACCATGTTTTCTATATGAATCTGTTAAAATGTAATATATTGCTGTGATCAAAGCTGTATTTTCAGCTTCATTACTCCAGTCTTCAGTGTCACATGGTCCTTCAAAAGTCAGTCTAATATGCTGATTTGCTGCTCAAGAAACATTTCTGATTATTATCAATGTTGAAAACAGTTGTGCTGCTTCATATTTTTGAAACTGTGACATTTTATTTTTCAGGAACTTTTGAATAAAAAGTTCAAAAGAACAGCATTTATATAGAAACCTTGTAACATTATAAATGTCTTCACTGCCATTTTTGGTCCGTTAAAAGAAAAAGCATACTGGCTCAAACGAGTGTATCCACTTTTAGGAAAGGCCTGAGTTAAGTCGCGCCTGGATTTGTTGGAAGCAGCGTAACAACCTTTTAGAAGGCAATTTTGTGGAAACCACTGTGTTTGGAACTAAAATGGGAATCCACATACCGCTCAATACCCAAGTAACAGCACCTCGATTGTGTTGCTAAGAGTTCTTGTTGCATTTCAGCAGCTGCTCACTGCAAGATACTGTGAAGAGGTGAAATCCCCCGCCATCAGTTCAATCCTGCCTCCCATTAGTAGCTGTGATATTAACTGCTCTGAGCATAATTTACTAGAGCTCTAAAATGGGCACAAATACTAACAAAGTGCTGTTTAAAAATACAAGAGTCTTGGAAAATATTTTCCATTTGAATGAGCATATGTGACCCTGGAGCACAAAAGCAGTGTTAAGTCGCTGGGGTATATTTGTAGCAATAGCCAACAATACATTGTATGGGTCACAATTATACATTTCTCTTTTATGCCAAAAATCATTAGGATATTAAGTAAAGATCATGTTCCATGAAGATATTTTGTAAATTTCTTACCGCAAATATATCAAAACTTAATTTTTGATTAGTAATATGCATTGCTAAGAACTTCATTTGGACAACTTTAAAGACGATTTTCTCAATATTTAGATTTTTTTTTGCACCCTCAGATTCCAGATTTTCAAATAGTTGCATCTCGGCTAAATATTGTCCTATCCTAACAAACCATACATCAATGGAAAGCTTATTTATTCAGCGTTCGGATGATGTATAAATCTCAATTTCGAAAAATTTACTCTTATGACTGGTTTTGTGGTCCAGGGTCACAAATATGTTAGCGTGACACTTTTGATACGCTGCTGTAAAATGACCATTCTGCCACCTCTTTTTTTTCCGCTGTTTTTTTCCCTCCTTAAATCTCAAAGGACATTTTCGGGTGTGTTTAAATAATTCACTTTCTGTGAAGCACAATCTGTGTTTCATTCACTTTTAATGAGCTTTCAATGACACATGAAGGATGCTTGCAATTTCCCAGCATGCTTAATAGCTGTATATATTTAAATCAAGAACAAATGCCATAACTCCTTCACTGTGGCACCAAACAGAGGAGCTTTGGCGTTATTCTGCTTTATCAGGACGTTCTGTCATGCCATAGTTTGTCTCGTTTGGTAGGTATGGACATAATAATGATGTCTGCCCTCGTGTGACGTCCATGTCGGCTTGGTCTATTTGCAGATAAATCCAAGGACAAATCTCAGGCGGCTCAGAAGACTGCCAGCAAAAACAGCACCGCAGCCAATAAAGTGAGCAGTAGCAACGGGAGCAGCACGCCGAACAGGTACTGCACCCAAGACCCGACTTTCCACGCAGCGCAAGCTCAGAATGATGTACTGCTCTCATCTCTTATATAATGTCATTAAAAGTTGAAGCCCTGGGGTGAGAAAGTTTAGCAGGGGCTTATTATTTCAAAGTACTCGCCAAATAAATCAATCCTTTATCAAAGTCTACCTTCCTTATGAACTGTGTAATCAAATTGAACAGCGTTCCAGGCAAGAATCCTCTTACAATTCTATTAAACTGAGCAATTGCGGAGAGAAATGTCTTGAAAGGAACCATCTCTGAAAGGCATGGCTGTTACAACACACAATTGCACGATGGCCCATCAAATTGGCTGTGTAAAACATAATTTCGAAAGAAATACTTCAATGGGAGAAAGGTCCCCATTAATTTCCATTCAGGAATTGTGTGAATGGAATGAGATTGTAATGGATTTCTGAGTGTCTTAACATGGTTTGGTGGGGTCAGGGAAAGTGGCGTAGTCAGGAATATGTAATTCACCTGAGATGAGAGGACAGAGGGGTCACGATGTGCTCTGTTTTAATAATGAATGACACAGTCAGGAGAATTCAGCCTGTAGCTCAGGGGCTTTGAGAAAACCGCTTAATATCAGTGCATCATATTAGCTTTCAGAAGTTTACACTCTTTCCTTTCACCTCGTTTTTGCGTGTGTGCAGTAGACTAGTTTCCTTTTGGCTTGGTAATATTGGTTTGAGCGAGCTGTAGAGCATCAAAATTATTACTTCTTTTTAGTGAAGGATCAGTGAAAGGAGGTGATTAGTCATAAGAAAATGCTACTGGTCAAGCTCAGGAGGTCAAATATTTCATTAGCTCTTGATTTTTAATTCTTTATATTATCGTATCTGTAGATGTTCAGTGTTTGCAGCCGTTATACCAAAATTTGAATATGAACCGTACAATTTGTGTGATTTTCTTCTAGCAAAGGTTAACAACATAAATATATTCAACTAAATAACTAATTTGAGGGCAGATGTTGGTTTGTATTTATTAGAGCCCAAACGATATGGGTTTTTTGGGGGGCCGATACCGATATTAGGGAGTAAAGAAAGGCTGATATCGATATATCGGCCGATATTCTTTGTGTTTGTTATAGTAAAGTACCAGTCAAAAGTTTGGACACTTTCCCATTCATGTGTCCAAACTTTTGACTGGTACTATATATAGAATACAGTATATACATAAACAGAATATACTGTATATACATAAACACATTTTTTGCAATGATCACTCAAATGTAGTGATAAAACCCTTATAATGACGTGACAAAGATATGTAATGGAGGCAGGGCATTTGACAATTTAACAATGAACTTTATTATCCAAAATGAGTCTGACATCAGTGCACTGAACAGTAAAGTTGAAGTTTATTCAGTTTTATTTAAATTCAATTCCATTCAAGTTTACTTCACTTCGGAACATTCATTCACGGATTTGCACTACTGTCTTCACACAGACAAAACTTACTAGAGAAGTGTGAAGCGTGACATAATATACCTCTGTAATATAAAATATAAATATAAATTCACGTCTCGCGCACTTTAATGCCCTTTGAATGTAACGTGTACGTTCCCTTGGAATCATGGTGGAATATCATGTGAAGTCCACTTCGTCCAAACAAAATATATTTCTGACATCAGTGCACTGAACAGTAAAGTTGAAGTTTATTCAGTTTTATTTAAATTCAATTCCATTCAAGTTTACTTCACTTCGGAACATTCATTCACGGATTTGCACTACTGTCTTCACACAGACAAAACTTACTAGAGAAGTGTGAAGCGTGACATAATATACCTCTGTAATATAAAATATAAATATAAATTCACGTCTCGCGCACTTTAATGCCCTTTGAATGTAACGTGTACTTGGAACTGGAATCATGGTGGAATATCATGTGAAGTCCACTTCGTCCAAACAAAATGTCATATCGGCGGCATATTCGACGATACCAATATATCTGCGACAAGCTCATATCGGCTGATAAAATCTGTGAAACGATATATCGGTCGGGCTCTAGTATTTATTGATAAACTTGTTTCCCTTAAAATGAAATTTTAAAAAAGTCCTTAAAAGTCACTTTCCTGAAACACAGCAAGTATGACCCAAAAAATAAATGAATAAAATAAGCTCTTTCTTTACTTCAGTATTTTAATAGACAGAAAACACAGAAATAATTAAATCAAACTTGTCATATTGTGTGTTTAATGCATATAAGACTAAGGTGAAACAGGCCAAAATCATTTTGGGAAGGCTTGTATACACTTCACTCCATTAATTTTACATTAGATAAGAGTTTATCCAACATAACTCTCTCCCCAAAGAACTCCTCGACTTTAAGCGTTTGTTGCTTTTAAGCTCTTTCTTTACTTCAGTATTTTAATAGACAGAAAACACAGAAATAATTAAATCAAACTTGTCATAGTGTGTGTTTAATGCATATAAGACTAAGGTGAAACAGGCCAAAATCATTTTGGGAAGGCTTGTATACACTTCACTCCATTAATTTTACATTAGATAAGAGTTTATCCAACATAACTCTCTCCCCAAAGAACTCCTCGACTTTAAGCGTTTGTTGCTTTAAAAAAAAAGTCAACGGAGACCAATCTGTACTATTCATGATGTTTTATAAGATCTGAAATGGTGTTATGATACATTTTATCAGTGGTGTCAATCCACAACATCTCCAATTTATCAAAGTTATTCTGTATCTCTGAATGAAAGTATTATGCTTTGGTCACTCAAAAAGATAATAACAAAAATAACATGTCAGCAGACTTTAGTTGATTCCTGATCTCTCCACAGCACTAAAGGGAGCAAAGAGAAGGAAGATAAAGAGAAGACCACAAAGGAGAAAAAAGAGAAGAAAGACAAGAACCCAGGAAGCACTCCAGAGGCCAAGGCAGGAGGGAAGGACAAACAGAAGGAGGAGAAACCCACTGACAGCAAGGAGAAGACGCCCAAGGCCGACAAGGACAAGAGGAAGGATGACAAGAAGGAAGAGAAGAGCAAGATCGATGGGAAATCCGCTGAAAAAGAGTGGTCCAAGGAACGCGACGTGTCCAACGACAGCAAGACTAAGGAAGGCAGCAAAGTGGAGAAGAACGCTGGGGCCGGAAGCATGAAGTCCCTCGTGCCCAGATCTGAAGGAGTCGAGTCTGAACGGGGTGAGACGGCCCTGCCGCTGTCCCCTTAAATATGCTTCACTATGCTTCTTTGACTTTGTTTGGACTTTAAGAACAGTGCATAAAAGAATGTCTTAATGCTAAAAGGAAAGTTCAGAGCATAGAATCCAGTAGACGCGTTTTTCAATGAAAGGTTTTTGCAGCAAAGTGGAGAAGAACGCTGGGGCCGGAAGCATGAAGTCCCTCGTGCCCAGATCCGAAGGAGTCGAGTCTGAACGGGGTGAGACGGCCCTGCCGCTGTCCCCTTAAATATGCTTCACTATGCTTCTTTGACTTTGTTTGGACTTTAAGAACAGTGCATAAAAGAATGTCTTAATGCTAAAAGGAAAGTTCAGAGCATAGAATCCAGTAGATGCGTTTTTCAATGAAAGGTTTTTGGATTTAGGCTACGTCCACACGAAGCCGACACAAAACGATGTAGTTTACATGCCAGACCAGCATGTGGCGCTGTAATTCTAAAAAGAAGACTTGGACTATGCGCATAAACCTTGCGAGCGGTATACAAACAAACATGGAACAATACATTTATTAATCTGTGTGAATGTTAGTTAATAAGACAATCGTTGAGTGTTTATACAAGAACCCAGGAAGCACTCCAGAGGCCAAGGCAGGAGGGAAGGACAAACAGAAGGAGGAGAAACCCACTGACAGCAAGGAGAAGACGCCCAAGGCCGACAAGGACAAGAGGAAGGATGACAAGAAGGAAGAGAAGAGCAAGATCGATGGGAAATCCGCTGAAAAAGAGTGGTCCAAGGAACGCGACGTGTCCAACGACAGCAAGACTAAGGAAGGCAGCAAAGTGGAGAAGAACGCTGGGGCCGGAAGCATGAAGTCCCTCGTGCCCAGATCCGAAGGAGTCGAGTCTGAACGGGGTGAGACGGCCCTGCCGCTGTCCCCTTAAATATGCTTCACTATGCTTCTTTGACTTTGTTTGGACTTTAAGAACAGTGCATAAAAGAATGTCTTAATGCTAAAAGGAAAGTTCAGAGCATAGAATCCAGTAGACGCGTTTTTCAATGAAAGGTTTTTGGATTTAGGCTACGTCCACACGAAGCCAGAGCTTTCCCTATCCAATCTTTTTTCCCCCCTCGTCTCAAGAAATATCTGCGTCCACACGAAACCGACACAAAACGATGTAGTTTACATGCCAGACCAGCATGTGGCGCTGTAATTCTAAAAAGAAGACTTGGACTATGCGCATAAACCTTGCGAGCGGTATACAAACAAACATGGAACAATACATTTATTAATCTGTGTGAATGTTAGTTAATAAGACAATCGTTGAGTGTTTATGTTTTTGTTGCCGTTACGTGACGTAGCGGTGTCTGACTAGGGGCGGGATGTGGGCTGATGAGTCTCGCGTTTCAGAAAATATACGGATTGGCTGTCCACACGAAAACGCAAGGGCGGAGGTTTCAGATTTATCCACTCTGGGACTCTGGGAAATATCGGTTTCACTCTCCCAAAACGCCGGATCCGTGTGGACGAAACGCCTATACGATACAAAATGTATGCGTATACATCTAAACGCATCTCCGTGTGGATTCCGTCTTAGTTCACCCCGAAATTCAAGTTACTCACCTGAGTGACTTTCCATATTGCTGCGAAACACAATATCAGAAGCAGAAAAGCATTTTTTGAAGCTAATCCTCATATTTCTTCTCTCAGCAGAGCAAAAAAGACGAAAGCTTGACACGCACTCGTCACCGTCGCACTCCTCTGCAGTTAAGGTTAGTATGGCCTGAGGAGAGCTGTGCACTTCTTTCCTCTTGTCCCTACCTGTCGGAGATCACGTGTTTTCCAAACCTTCCTCGTCACCCATTGGAGTTTGAGAGGAGGCCTCTGGAGCCCAGCCGTTGTAGGAGAGCATTGGTGGGAATTTTGCATCTTATGGACTATTTATTTTGGAGAAATCTTTTTCAATAGATGTCAGATTTTTAAGAGATTTTTCCAAGGACTTGCCAAAAATCTTAAATTCTAGCACATGCTTTGTTTTTGCTCACTTTTACACGCTAAGAGAATCTACCCAAGTGCCTCACAAGTTTTGTTCCTTTTCGTATACCGTACTTTTTGTAAGATTGTAAATATAGATATTTAGTTTTGTAAATCGCCCTGCCCATTTTTGATTTTTTTGGAATCATAACATATTACTTGCTGAGAAAGTAAGAAGTAAATAAGAATCAGTCTTTTTGGTTTTGTTTTTTAAACTAAACATCGAGACGAGAGCGTTTCTGCTGGAAGAAATCCTGATGAAGTCAGATCTCCTTCGCGTCTGTGACTCCTGCAGGAGCTGGAATGTTTTGCTTGTTTTCCTGCATCATCGATCGGGGATCCCAGACAAGAATATGCTCGTCTTCACCGCCACTGCTTGCTTTTTTTCTTCCATCCTGGTTTTTGCCGCACCCGATTTGTGAGCGTTTTCCCAGACATCCATGTGACCAGCAGACGGCGCCATCAGCATCCAGAGAAACCCACGTCACCAGCAACTACCGCATAAAGAGAAAGGCAACCAGGGAAAAAGTGTGGGCATGGCCTTCCCAGAGGGATCTGTCTCTCCGTGACCAGGAATCTTGTTGCAATTGTCTGAGCGAGACCTCATGCCAAAGTGTACATGACCTCCTTCTATTCCCTTCATTAATGAATCCTAGCTGAGTTTAGTTTGTTTTATCATCTTCATGAACTCCCATAGTTAATTTACAAAATGTTTGCTTTATCTTAGACCAAAGATACGAGTTAAGACGTTTCCCTATGCTGCTCAGTGCAGTGACGTTCTCCAGGTCCAGTGCAGATTGACGTTAGGCTCCGATAGACCAGTCTCTTCGTCTCTAACCATGTGAAAGTTCTAGTCTTTGAAGGTCTTTGGGGATGTGTTGATTGACGGCCGGCCTCCCCCAGCCTTTCTCCTGCTGTGTGCCATCCTCTCCAGCTCATCTGTCATCTCCATTCATTCCTACAGGACAATCTCAACGACTTCAAGGACTCCGCTTCAAAGGTTTGGACCTTTTTCAATCCTTAACTCTGATTGTGTCTCCAAACCTAGTGAACTGCCTGCCCAGACCATTCAAACGATCATTGCAAATGCCCTGTTGGCCTCTATGTAAGCCGTATTGGTTCAGAACTTCCAACCAATGCCTAAAAATGTCCATGTAGGCAGTGTTTGTCCAAAATGTATCTATGATGGCCAAAAATGCAGTATAGTTGGACATCTCGAGTTTGAACGTTTTAAACCGTAATATGTGACCCTGGACCACAAAACCAGTCATAAGGGTCAATTTTTCGAAATTGGGACTTATACATCGTCTGCAAAAGCTGAATAAATAATCTTTCCATTGATGTATGGTTTGTTAGGATAGGAAAATATTTGGTCGAGATACAACTATTTGAAAATCTGGAATCGGAGGGTGCAAAAAAATCTAAATATTGATAAAATCGCCTTTAAAGCTGTCCAAATGAAGTTCTTAGCAATGCATATTCAGTTTTAATATATTTACAGTAGTAAATTTACAAAATATCTTCATGGAACATGATCTTTACTTAATATCCTAATGATTTTTGACATAAAAGAAAAATCTATAATTTTGACCCAAACAATGTATTTTTGGCTATTGCTACAAATATACCCCAGCGACTTAACACTGCTTTTTTGCTCCAGGGTCACAAATGCAATGGGCTGCATTTTTATTTGAACTCTCCAAATACCCTTGTGGTGTGCTAATAGGGCCCTATGATTTCTGAGAAATGGATTTTACTGTATAATTATCGGAATTTGGCCACATTTGGATACATGAATCGAAAGTAAAGCTGTGCAGTTAGTCAGATTGGGATATGTCCTAGTGTTAATATTTTAGTAAATCAAATTGTTTTATTGATCCAGTTGATTAGTCATCATTGGTGATGATTAGAATTGTGTAACTGAACCATTATTAGCAAACTCATAATTAGGCAAAAAATCAAATATAATTTGGGGGAAAATAAAATTGATTCACCAAGTTGTTGTCTTAGTAGGCAGTATGCTTTCTTACATTCCAAGTGATAGCAGAAACGCCATCTAGGTAGGCAGCGATTGCTTGGGCGTTCCAAACCCGCCTGTGATGCCCAAGAATACTGTCTATGTAGGCAGCATTCCTTCAAACGGATGCCCAGAAATGCTGTGTGGGTAGGCAGCTCACTAGCCTTTGAGATACTCCCAATGTTTATTTCGTCTCGCCACAGAAACTTTCTTCAAGCTGTATGTCGTGAATGCATCTGTAGATTAAAGCACGTTTTGCGCCACATGCCAGGTGTGGAGTCTTTAAAAAGTCCCCTTTCCCTTCAAAAGGTGGCAGAATATCCCTGAAACGGGCGTTGCGCTCTTGTGCTCGCACATCCCTCTCCTCCTCTGCCAGGACATTTTATATTCTGCTAATGTAATTTCAGCCCAACAATATCCTTCATTCTTCCCGTGGCTACGCTCTCCTGGGCTCCTCTCTCAGTCCTCGCTGTCTGATTTGACTCTGGTCTTCTGTTCGCCACTCCAGTCTCTTTTGAACTGGCAGTGAGATAAGTGTTTTTGCAGTTTGGTCACTGAAGGATGTTTGAAAATATGCTGATGGTGCCACCTGAAAAAGCAATACTGCTGAATTTTGAGCAGCCTGTTATTTTATTCTCTCCGTCTCTGCTGTCAGAGTATTCCCTCACATTAGCCGCAGGATCATCCAGAGGCCTCACAGACCCTCGGTGTAGATGCTTTTAGCATCAGTTGCAAGATCTTTTGCTTTTCTTGAACCAGCAGGGTCGGTCTTGCTGGAGTCGGTTGTGTCTTGTAGGACATCGTGTCAGCTGTGTTGCGTTCTTGTAATTCAGTTGTCAGTTTTGATTCTGTTGTTGAAGTGGTTTTGGCCATGTGATTAATTCATTCACTCTCGGAGAGTTTGTGTTATGAATCTGTTGTTAAAATACATGCCAATTCCCTGACGTACCAATTTGAAACAGGTGCTTTATGAGGTTGTGAAAGCAAGGGTCTTCAACAGATCCAGGAACATGTAGGGTTGGTACAAAAACCTGTAGTCAATAGCAATACCAGTGGGATTTTACAATTATTCATACCGGTTATTTGGCTTTTAAACACAATACTTGATTATTTATCGATTGATTGTGAAGTAATTGTAATCAGTCGATACATTAAAGAAGGGGAAAAAAGGAATGGAACAAATTATTAATAACGGAACCAAATACAGATGGCATAAATGCTGCTGGAAGTGTCAAGTAATCTCTCAGAAATCGAAAATAAAGTGCTTTTATTATCTGGTTCACAAATCAGACTGAATCCGTAAGATCTGAAAATCACTGCTCAATCTTTTGAAGGAGGCTTAGAGGCTTCAGTAAACTGGTGAAGAACAGCTGAGCAGACTTGAAGTGAATTTGAAGAACAATCGTTCACTGCTCCAGATTCTTCTCACCACTTTCAGAAAGACTCGTATTTTTTCCCCAGTATCTCTTGCTCTGTTAGATCTCCGTTTGTTTCTCTCCCACACATTTATCAGCAAAGCATCTTTGGATCAGTAGGAGAGTCTGAAATGGCAGTTTTCCAAACAACACCAACCACATGCCATTCTGCTGTTATACACCAAACAAGAATCATATATATATATATATATATATATATATATATATATATATAGTGTGCTTTTATACACATATAGACACTTCATATACAGTATTTATATATATATATATATATAATGTGTGCTTTTATGCACATATTGACACTTCATATACAGTACTTTTTTATTCACTTTAAGTTACTTTATTCTGTATGTGTCAGTTCCAGCTGGAGCATGAATATTTAGCTAATGATCAAACAGCTTTAACAGTTTGCTGCAGTGCTATTTTTATTTATTTATTATTTTTAATGAACCTCTTTTGTGAGCACGAGTTGCGCAGTGCTGAACATGATGTGGGCAGTTCATTTACTGTGTCCCATGCGTCTGGCAGCTTGTGTTGCCTTAAAGATAAAATTAGGCTGTATATACCCGGTCCCACCTGAAAATACATTTTCATTAATTTGCACAGAAAATCTTTTTGACAAGCAGGGTTTTTTTTCTCTCTTCTTTTTGCTGCTGTCACCAAACAACAATCTGGTTTAAGTTCAAGATTGTCTTATCCCATGAAGCATTTTTGGGCTTGGCACACAATGCTGTGTAAGTCTACAAATAAAGATTATTTTGATAATTATTTAATCTATTGATTATTACAACAGACATTTTATTATTTGATAAATATATAACACATACTTTTTACTCTTTAATTAAATATACAATTAAATATACATTTAATTAAAAATTGTTTTTCAAGGGCAATATGATTGTAGCATATTAATTTAATTTGAAATTCCATTATTTTAATGTATTAATACTAATTTATCAATGTAAATACTTTCTGTAAAGTCACCCCCTCTTTTTGAAGATTGCTGAGAATGAGAACGACTGCTCTGGATCTCTGCAGCTAACATTCGATTAGGGCTGGGCGTTATAGCTAAGAAATTTATCAACGATATAATGTTTCATATCATTCGGTATCGATAATTATTGACATTTTTTATAACCTTCTTTTAAAACAAAGAGCAATATAAAATTGTTTTTACATTTAACCACTGTATTTTTAAATTAACTAAATTTATTGAGACAAACAGCAAATATTTGGTTTTTGTTTTAACAGTCAAACTTAAATATCTAATTTCTAATGTTTTATATGCAGATTAAATCTTTTTGACAAGCAGGGTTTTTTTTCTCTCTTCTTTTTGCTGCTGTCACCAAACAACAATCTGGTTTAAGTTCAAGATTGTCTTATCCCATGAAGCATTTTTGGGCTTGGCACACAATGCTGTGTAAGTCTACAAATAAAGATTATTTTGATAATTATTTAATCTATTGATTATTACAACAGACATTTTATTATTTGATAAATATATAACACATACTTTTTACTCTTTAATTAAATATACAATTAAATATACATTTAATTAAAAATTGTTTTTCAAGGGCAATATGATTGTAGCATATTAATTTAATTTGAAATTCCATTATTTTAATGTATTAATACTAATTTATCAATGTAAATACTTTCTGTAAAGTCACCCCCTCTTTTTGAAGATTGCTGAGAATGAGAACGACTGCTCTGGATCTCTGCAGCTAACATTCGATTAGGGCTGGGCGTTATAGCTAAGAAATTTATCAACGATATAATGTTTCATATCATTCGGTATCGATAATTATTGACATTTTTTATAACCTTCTTTTAAAACAAAGAGCAATATAAAATTGTTTTTACATTTAACCACTGTATTTTTAAATTAACTAAATTTATTGAGACAAACAGCAAATATTTGGTTTTTGTTTTAACAGTCAAACTTAAATATCTAATTTCTAATGTTTTATATGCAGATTAAATAGGTTAAACTTTTGGCTTGTTTCCCGAGGCCACAGGAGGGCTCAATGAGCAAAAGAATGCAGCACATTAAATTGCCAACGCAAGGAAATAACTGTCTGTAAAAAACATGCATTACGTCTAAATTAAATCATATAAATCAAATATTATGTCATAAATTGCATAAACAATTATGAACAAAATACATCACATATTTATGCATTGCTTAATACAAAGAGCCGAATCGCCCATCATGGAGATTGCATTTAAAAACATATGAGACGCAGTGAAAAGGAATAAACCTCCACAAATTCGCGACATGTTTTCTAAAAGTTTAAACTGTTTTTACTTTGCATGGCTTTCTATATCTCTCGTGTGACGCGAGTGCAGCAGTCATATTTGTCCGTCTAAAAAATGTGTTGAATATGCATTCTGTGTGAATGGCTTCGGTTTTAACCTAATCAAGGTCTTCTCCGCATTGAGCTTCTATATTTCTCTAATATTGTTGAATGAATAACGCAGCAGCGGCGCGTCTCGTGGGCTAGACTAACAAAACATTAAACTACCACGTCACTTACATCATCATCACCGCATCTCGTGCTCCACTGAAGACGCTCCCTGACCCACTCCTAACATTCAAATACAAATGTTTATTTTAAATTCGACTAATATTCATTTTTGTATTCACAATCTCCTCATCACAGGCAGGCACAACACTCAATTCAGCATGTGTTCGTGTTTGTGTGTGCTGTCTGCGTCACTCAGAGCACGTGCCTATATCGTGCGCTATATCGAACATTTTTTATACCGTTATCGAAGAAGGTGTATCGTTGATAAATATCGATACCGTTTTATCACCCAGGCCTACATTCGATCTTGTCATTTTCTTTGTGGGATATCGATGTTAAGTTGAGTGAATGTCAACAACAGTTTATCTTGCTCGCTCACGCTTCATTCTCTTGCTATTTAAACACTTTCCACATGTTGTTCTCCAAAAGAATGTCTTTGCTTTGCAAAAGAAAGATTTCATCCATTTTCTGAAGATTTTCCATTCTTGAGGAGCATTGTGGTGTTTTATAAGAGTATTGCTCAGTGCTTGTTTGAAGAGGTCAGCTATTTGTTGGTTGATTTGTGAATCACGACCCTTAAGGGCTTTTCATATGAATCGTATCAGCGTTTCCCAATGCACTGAAGCATTACTCTGACGCCACATTACATGCATAGGAGCTGCACAATGAATCGTATTGTAATCATGATCACGATTTCTGCATCTCTCGATTTATTAAGCATAATCACTGATTATATGCAATATTTGTCAGTTTTTTTTTTAATCCTGAAAATGTTTTTTTAATTTGGCATCTGCGTTTTCTTACATTGGTAAAAAGCAAGATTTAATGGTTTCAGTTTCCAGATTTCAAGAGTTTAAATTCCCCAATCAGAGCTTTTTTCATAAATTGATACATTTTCTGCCCAGTGGTTTACTTAATCTTCCCAACCTGGCAACCATCTGCACTGCTCTCTCTACATTAAGAAAAAAAGCACTGATGAGGTGAAAACACTGGCAAACATCTAAGCTGGAGTTTAGAGGTCTCTATTGAGATATTCTGCAGTCAGCCCGTTTCCATTCATGTGGCTTGCTGTGAATAAATCTGCAAGCAAACCGTGCACGTTGAGGTTCTCTTGATTTGTGCTTAACTGTAATTAATTCTATAGAAATGTTAAAACAAACAAAAAAAAAAGTCAATAAGCATTATTATATTTCTGAGCAAAGTAATCGTCATTTAACCAGTATCAAGCAGCCCTAATGTACAGGCCAAGTACCAATTTCACCTTTCACCCCTTTGGCCTCTGACCTCTTGAGCTGCGGTCACTGAATACGAGACCGTATTAGCGTGGTGTATCAATACGTTATCAGCGTGCAAAGTCAAAAGTTGGGCTGGTTCTTTTTCCCCTTTCTCTTGCTGCCTAGCAACCCAGTAAAAACGCCCTTTTGTAACACTATTCACATGGAGGTTTGACGCTTGTTTCGAGGTGCGTTGAAGCCCTGGTGCGAGGCACATATACGAGTTCAGGAGCCTTGAGCTTTTAATAGAGTGCTTGAACTTCCTGTGGGTGTGCCTGATAGCATCGTGAGGTGTGAAGGCTCATGGGAAGGCGAGTGCGACTCTAACGGGGCACGGCTCTCATCCTGCGAGGTGTTAACCCGCTCTTATCTCTCCATCCAACCCTCAGCACCATCCTAACCACAGCACAGTCCTGCCCAAGAGCAAAGAGAAGGACGACGAGAAGAAAGAGTCTGACAAGTCCAGGGACCGTTCCAAAGAGAGGGAGAAGAAAGAAGACCGGAAGGACCGGAAACGAGTAAGTGGCTGCGTCCCTGACGCTTTCGGTGTTTAGAAAAGGATTTGGGCACGGGGTAAAGCATGCCTGGTGAAAGGTGAAAAGTCGAGTCAATGAGCGTCATGTTGATTTGCGCCGTTTCCCCTAGGACTACTCGAACAGCGACCGCGAGATGAGCCAGGAAGCCAAGCGCCGCAAAGATGAAAATGGAATGAGTGAGTCGATAATGCCTATCTTTTAAATTTGTTTTGCCCGCTGCCGAGATTGGGAGAGGCGAGCTAGCGAACCAGAAAGGAGGCAATCAGAAAGCCCCTCCCCGTGGCTCTCGTGTTATCTGCCTCACATGGCTGCGCTCTCTCTTTTCACACAGGCTCCTCCAAACACAGCAAGAGCGCCAGCCCCTCCGAATCGCCACACTCCAACGACAAGGACAACAGCAAGCGCTCCAAGTCCACCAGCAAGGACAAGAGTGATCTGGCCAAACCGGAGAAGACCTCTGGAGGCAAAAAGGTCTGGGACTGTGTCCTGTTACACCTCCACAACTTACGGCGTCACTCATACCTTGGGTTAAGATGACAAACAAACCCCTAGCCTTAAGTGTTCGACTTGACTTGTGTTAGACATGAATCTAAAATGCTAATATGTGACCCTGGAATCGCTGTGGTATATTTGTAGCAATAGCCAAAAATACATTGTATGGGTCAAAATTATCCATTTTTCTTTTATGCCAAAAATCATTAGGATATTAAGTAAAGATCATGTTCCATGAAGATATTTTGTTAGTTTCCTACCGTAAATATATCAAAACTTAATTTTTGATTAGTAATATGCATTGCTAAGAACTTCATTTGGACAACTTTAAAGATGATTTTCTAGATTTTTTTTGCACTCTCAGATTCCAGATTTTCATCTCGACCAAATATAGTCCTATTCTAACAAACCATACATCAATGGAAAGCTTATTTGTTCAGCTTTCAGATGATGTATAAATCCCAATTTAAAAAAATTGACACTTATGTCTGGTTTTGTGGTCCAGGGTCACATATGTCTAATCTAACATGTTGAGAGCAGAATATCACAGTCTCTGTTAGAGATCTTAAGGCAGTGTTAATTTGATTGAAATTACAGATGAAGGGTTTGAGGTGGAAAAAGATGCATCATGATTATTATACATCATAACTGAACGATTGTAACTTAATGATTAACAGTGCACCAAGTGCTATTAGACAAAATGTAGAATGGATAGATTCAGATAATCCAGTCATAGTGTTTAGTGATCGATCTGAAGTACTTCACTGGATGGATGGTTGGTCAGTTAGTTAATACAAGAACGATAACTATAGCAGTAACTAGGACTGCACGATTCATCAAAATAAGTAAATTATGATGTGGCGTAGGGGTTGCAATTTATTCAATATAAGCGCAGTCCCACTTTATATTGTATTAGGTGGCCTTTACTACTATGTACTTGCATCAAAAAAAATTTGTGTTCATATTGTATTGCAAAACACTTCTGCTGCTATTGAGGTGGGATGCGGGTAAGTTAGGGACAGGTTTGGTGGTACGGGTAGGTTTAAAGGTGGGTTAAGGTGTAAGGCATGGGTCAACAGTGTAACTATAAATGTCATTACAGAAATTAATTACATGCAGGTGTTTTGCATAAGTACAATGTAAAAACATGTATGTGCACAATAAGTGCATTGTATCAAATGATTAATTTAAATGTAGGTACATAGTAGTTAAGGTCATTTAATATAAAGTGGGACTAAAAAATGAATTTTACTCTAAAACAATGACAACAGTAGAGTTATATCAGTTTTGATGTGGACTTAGTTCTCATAGAATTAGAACAATTATCAAATCTTTATTGATATCTTCCTTGGTGTGGATGGCCCTTAACGCACATTGTGAATATGCCATATCAATTCTAATATCCTAAAAAAAGACCAATGTTCATTAATAACACGACCCATGAGTATCTCAGGTTTCAAGGACATTTTCATGTTATATTCTATTTATGTTTGAAACATTTAATGTATGTATTAAATGTAGCAACCTGTTACAGTTTGTCGTTTTGCACATCAATTAAAATGTACTCAACAAAAACGTAACTACACAGAAACCAAACTAAACACTTCAAACACCCAACGCACCAATTAAACGGTAACTGTAGACCCAGCGTGATGCGAAACCATTTCCTGCACACGTTCACCAATGCTCTTGTGTTTCAGGAATCCAGGCACGACAAAGAGAAATCCGAAAAGAAGAGAGACAGCACTGGCGCTAAAGAAGAGAAGAAACAATATCCTTTGCTGCCATAAACACAGACGGCTGCGTGTAGAGATGGAAAGAAGTCTTGCTCTTTGTATAGAAATCAGCTTTACACAAACTCAGCTCACTGCTGCAGCGCTGGAGCAGATCAACACACTTTTTCCTTAACATTCATCACCCATAAACACAGATAGTGCATGCTGACACTCGAGGTGAGCGTTAATGCGGACGAAGAGCTTTTGAGGACACACTTTTTTTGATTACTCGTTTCTTAAGACTCGAGTGAATAGGAAAAAGAGCATTTAATTAGAGGGAATTGGGGGTAATTGATTTGCAATGTGCTTTTGGATAATGCAGAAGTTTTAGCGACTCCTGAGGTGCATTGGCTGCGGTCGCTCCTCTTCTGCTGCGGGACTCTTCAGCCCAGCTTTCTCAACCGTGTTCCCTTCTCCGGTCACCGTCTGGAAAGAGCACTCCCTCGCACTTAGGATTTTTGCCTGCATCCAAACTTCTGTTGTTTTGCCTAGAAATGTCGTCGCTTGTATTTTAATCTGCCATTTTTATTGTGATATTTTCAGTACTTCACTGAAAGTTTGTTTCCTTTAAATGTTTAGCACAATGTGCTTCTTGCATCACAAACGGATTCAGGTTGAATTGGTGTCGCTCTCCAATGCTTGCGTTTTTATTACCTTCTTTTCCGTTTTCTTCTTTCTTTGGTTGGTTTCTTTTCTTTTACAAAATAGAAACAGTCTGGTTTCCTTAATACTACCGTTTTTCCTTTTTAATTCACATGTGATATTTAGACTAGGCGTTTGAAGCCGTACAAATGCTCTAATTTGTATATTATGTATACAGAAATAAAACGGTTCCATGTAATAAGACATTTCCTGTTACTTTCATTTCAAATGTACGCCTCCGGATTTCCTTTGTGTGTTCAATCACGTTTTTAAAAGATTTGTATAAAGAATGGCAAGCGGGATTTCTCCGTAAATAAGTGGACTAAAAAGGAAACAATTCTTGACTTTCCAAATTACTTCATGGAGTTTTTATCTGGCAGGATCTACAAAGTGTATGCTTTTTCTGAATAAAATAGTTTTCTTAGTGTATCACGTCTCTTGTTTTTTTTTTATTGGAAGCTTTGGGATTTTGCATAACTAGGTACCAGCATTTATTGCATCACTTTGCAAAAGTTCCTCTTAAGTTAACACTGGTGAAGATAGATATCAGTGCTTCTCTGAGCACTTCATGTTGACCGTGGAAATATTTTATCAAATGCATAAGACAAATGCATCAGTTCGACATGCACGGAAAACGTGAAAAGTATTTGGACACAGGTCACACTTCAAAATCTCTGCATGCCATTGTGTCAAGTACAAAATATAAAGCTGGTTGCACCTGCAACAAATGATGCTAGAGCTTTTGGAGCATTTAAAACTCAATTTGTGACCCTGGAGCACAAAAGCAGTGTTAAGTCGCTGGGGGATATTTGTAGCAATAGCCAACAATACATTGTATGGGTACAAATTATAGATTTTTCTTTTATGCCAAAAATCATTAGGATATGAAGTAAAGATCATGTTCCATGAAGATATTTTGTAAATTTCCTACCGTAAATATATCAAAACTTAATTTTTGATCAGTAATATGCATTGCTAAGAACTTAATTTGGACAACTTTAAAGAAGATTTTCTAAATTTTTTATTTTTTTTTGCACCCTCAGATTCCAGATTTTCATATAGTTGTGTCTCATCCAAATATTGTCCTATCCTAACAAACCATACATCAATGGAAAGATTATTTATTCAGCTTTCAGCTGATGTATAAATCTCAATTTCGTAAATTTGACCCTTATGACTGGTTTTGTGCTCCAGGGTCACATTTAAGTCGCAAACAAGCCATTTGATGACATATGTTCAGTTCAAAATTAGAATGAATGATAATGACATGTATGTAGAGTAGTTATATGTAATCTGCTTATGAGAATAGTTCAATTTTACTGTTACACGTGTTGCATATAAACGTGAAGTAGTCTATGCATGATTATGACCAATGTTGAGGAAAGTTACGGTAACGCTTCATTTTAAGGTGTCCGTGTTACATATTTTACATGTACTAACTATTATAATAATAATAAATTAAGTGTAATTACATGTAAGCAACCCTAAACCTAACCATATAGTAAGTGCATGTAGTTAATATTACTTAAATGTATAATTACACTGTAACAAGGACACCTTAAAATAGTGTAAACAAAGTTACTTTTGAAAGTAATGCATTACAATATTGTGTTACCCCCTTGCTTGCTTGTTTTTGTATATATATATATATATAAAAGATCTACTTTTTTTGTCAAATGTAAAAGCCCTTTTACACCAGTAATGCATGAATAAGCAGCAGGCTGAAGGAAATGTAAATGTATGTCTGTACAGTAGAGGGTACAGCTCAAACAACCCTCTCAGCTGTGCAGGAGAAGAAAGTTCAACACTCTTCAGTTATATATACAGTATATACTGTATATGAATGTTAGTGCTGTCAAACGATTAATCGCATCCATAATAAAAGTTTTTGTTTACGTTATATATATATATATATATATATGTGTGTGTGTACTGTGTATATTTATTATGTATATATAAAAGCACACACATACCATATATATTTTGAAAATATTTACATGTATATATTTAAATATATTAAAAAATATATATAAAAAAAATTCTTAAATATATACATGCATGTGTTTGTATTTATATTTACATATTAAATATACACAGTACACACATTTTGTGAACACAAACTTTTATTTTGAATGCGATTAATCGTTTGACAGCACTAGTATATATATATATATATATAAAGTCATTTTTGCTTATTAGTATGACAGCGTGTTCCAGCTCCTGCAAATATCCAGCAACTTCACATAGCCATTGAAGGGGAGTGGACCAACATTCCACAGGCCACAATCAACAACCTGATCAACTCTATGCGAAGGAGATGTGTTGCACTGCGTGAGGCAAATGGTGGTCACACCAGATACTGACTGGTTTTCGGACCCCCCCGGACCCCCCAATACAGTAAAACTGCACATTTTAGAGTGGCCTTTTATTGTGGCCAGCCTAAGGCACACCTGTGCAATAATCATGCTGTCTCATCAGCATCTTGATATGCCACACCTGTGAGGCGGATGGATTATCTCGGCAAAGGAGAAGTGCTCACTAACACAGATTTAGACAGATTTGTGAACAATATTTGAGAGAAATAGGCCTTTTGTGTACATAGAAAAAGTCTTAGATCTTTGAGTTCAGCTCATGAAAAATGGGGGCAAAAACAAATGTGTTGCGTTTATAATTTTGTTCAGTGTATATATATAGTATTTATATATAAGAAAAAGAAACGTATGTGATGTTTAACTAAAGTCATTTTTGCTTATTAGTATGGCTGAATTGGATCATTGAAGGTCAGCAGCAAATAAATTGGTTATTAAAATTGGATTAATATAAAGGATTTTTGTGTATATTTAATTATTGTGTTATTCTGAGCTTGGATTTCACAGTTTTTATTCATTTTGAGGAATACTGTTTCTGAGGTGAAGTAAACGCATGTTCTTGTTTAGTCTAGACATACAGTGACCATCAGAACGCCTCTGCACTTACTCCTGATTGGATTCTCTCAGCATGAGAAGACACGGGAAACAAAGGAACTGGCGTAAGTAACATTCTAAATTAGAAAGGAATGTGTTACTTTGTAGTTACTTGAAAAAGTAATCTGATTACATAACGTGTTACTTGTAATGCTTTACCCTCAGCACTGAATATAACTATATAAACATTGCCATGTCTTTTAATCTGCTAATGTTTTGTTGATTTTAGAGAATGTATGAATTTGTTTCTCACACAGGTGTAGCATATTTCAGCTCATTAACTATGAATATGTTACATGATCCACAAACGATTCAAATCTAACAAACCCCTCTTTATGTTCTGTTCTTCTATTGCGCATGTGCGACTTTAACGTTGTACTGTGGGAGAATAAGTGATTTACCATTGTAAATTAATGTTGTGTATTATGGTCTGTGGCATTGTAACTTTCTCCATAATCTATATCACCATTGTGTTCCATCAGCTGTTGTTACTTATAGTCCCTAATATGAAATGATTATGCTGAAATTTAGTGTGGCTTAATTGTCTAAATATATATGGAAATATTGTTGTTCAGATTAAAGATCCGTATTATCTAATACATTTTATAGTGAATATACTCACAGTTCACAATTTTGAATAGCAAAACATGTTTCTTTGAAGAAACAGAGGCGAGGCTGTGCTGTTCTGAGTGCGGTCGCTGCTAAAGGCCATTGGATTTAATAGTGTTAAATCACAGTTCAAACTCTTTCCCAGGTCTGTTACGAAGATTGTCATTATTACGCTCTATTATCTAAACTATTATCCAACATGAAATGAGCTTGTTTAACACATCAGCGGTGGCAAAGGCTCTTCTTCACCGTTCCCTTTCATGGGAACTTCGAACTGCGTCCTCTAGGGGTCGCTATGGGGAAACCTAGAGGACGCAGTGTCTCGTTCCCTACTCAGGGAACCATGGTTACATAAGTAACCTGAGACCTTCCCTTTCATGGGAACTTCGAACTGCGTCCTCTAGGTTTCCCCATAGCGACCCCTAGAGGACGTAGTGTCTCGTTCCCTACTCAGGGAACCATGGTTACATAAGTAACCTGAGACGTTCCCTTTCATGGGAACTTCGAACTGCGTCCTCTAGGTTTCCCCATAGCGACCCCTAGAGGACGCAGTGTCTCGTTCCCTACTCAGGGAACCATGGTTACATAAGTAACCTGAGACGTTCCCTTTCATGGGAACTTCGAACTGCGTCCTCTAGGTTTCCCCATAGCGACCCCTAGAGGACGCAGTGTCTCGTTCCCTACTCAGGGAACCATGGTTACATAAGTAACCTGAGACGTTTCTTCTTGTTGACTTTGATCTGACTGGAATTTTTTGGGTTGAATTCAATAACCAAAAGACATTTTCTTGTAACAACATATTGCGTTTCATTCAGTTTGTACATGTGGTGTCGACTCCATTTATCAATATATGTGACCCTGGACCACAAAACCAGGCATAAGGGTCAATTTTTCAAAATTGAGATTTATACATCACCTGAAAGCTGAGTAAATAAGCAACATTGGAGTGAATAGGACAACATGTGGCCGAGATACAACTATTTGAAAATCTGGAATCTGAGGGTGCAAAAAAAAATCCAAATATTGAGAAAATCATCTTTAAAGTTGTCCAAATGAAGTGCTTAGCAATGCATATTATTAATCAAAAATTAAGCGTCTCAGGTTACTTATGTAACCATGGTTCCCTGAGTAGGGAACGAGTCCTCTAGGCCTCTAGGTTTCCCCATAGCAACCCCTAGAGGACGCAGTGTCTCGTTCCCTACTCAGGGAACCATGGTTAACCTGAGACGCTGAGACGTGCCCTTTCATGGGAACTTCGAACTGCGTCCTCTAGGTTTCCCCATAGCGACCCCTAGAGGACGCAGTGTCTCGTTCCCTACTCAGGGAACCATGGTTACATAAGTAACCTGAGACGTTCCCTTTCATGGGAACTTCGAACTGCGTCCTCTAGGTTTCCCCATAGCGACCCCTAGAGGACGCAGTGTCTCGTTCCCTACTCAGGGAACCATGGTTACATAAGTAACCTGAGACGTTCCCTTTCATGGGAACTTCGAACTGCGTCCTCTAGGTTTCCCCATAGCGACCCCTAGAGGACGCAGTGTCTCGTTCCCTACTCAGGGAACCATGGTTACATAAGTAACCTGAGACGTTCCCTTTCATGGGAACTTCGAACTGCGTCCTCTAGGTTTCCCCATAGCGACCCCTAGAGGACTCAGTGTC